AAGAACTAATGTCCTTCACTTAGCGAAGCTGAAAGCACAACTGAAGAAAATGAACAGGAGCAGTTAAATAATGAGAAGTGGCAGGCTGCCATACTACCTTTTTACTTTTTAAAAATTCCAGGTACTGTATATAATCCCCAGTCTTTTTAACACATATACATATATGTTACGCATGAAGAAACAGAAATTCTATCTCTTGCTTAGCTTGTAAATAGTAGCACTGAATTCAGGCTTGTTTTGTGTTTCTAGAGTAGCTTGCAAATGCATGCTAATTTTTCACAGTCTTATAGACATCCTTAGGTTCTCTGCCTCCCTCATTGCCCTGTATGTAACTCCTTTTTATGGAAAAGCTTTTTTAAAGCATAGTTTTGCTGTGTATGCCTCCAGCCTTAACCTCTTAGTGCTTCAGGTTACAATACAAGCATGCAGCACCACATCTAACCTTATAGGAAAGCCTGGTGTTGGTTTGAGAGAGAGCTTCTCTGCAGACCAGGCTGGCCTTGAACTCACAGAGGTTTGCCTGCCTCTGCCTCTCAAGTGCTGCGATCAAAGGAGTGTGCCACCACACTCAGCCAATAAAGCTCTTTAAAGAGTGTGTTTAGTATTCATAGACTCTTCTTACGTTTTATTTATTTCTCAGCCCATTCTAATCTAACTTCCACTTCACTATCAGGTCCTCCAGAGAAGCCCACCTGATAGGTGAACATGGCTGCACATGTACTTTTGGGCACATGCATGTACATGTGAGATAGATTATTAGAGGAGTTAGCTCATGAGTTCATGCATGTGGCAAGTCTTAAGCTTGAACATGGCAGACTGGAAACTAAAGCAAGACTACTGTTTTCCAGACTCAAGGTAGACTCACTTTATCAACTGGTTGAACAGGACCTGCCCAAATTTTAAAAGCTAATCTTCTTTATCTAAAGTCAGTCGCTATTTATTTGTTTGTTTGTTTGTTTGTTTATGTACCTGCCTACATGCCATGTCCTCAGAGGCCAGAAGAGGGCGTTGTGTCCTGGGTCTGCTGAAACTAGAGTTACAGGTGGTTGTGAGCCACTTGACCTGAGGGATGGGAACTGAATTTCAATTCTAAAAAATAAGTGATCTTAACCACTAGCCATCTATCTCTCTAGCCCTTGTTTTTCTTTTAAGATAAAGTCTTATGTCAGGCATGTTGGTGCACACCTTTAATCCCAGCACTGGGGAGGCAGAGTCAGGCGGATGTCTGAATTCAAGGCCAGCCTGGTCTACAGAGTGAGTTCCAGGGGCTGTTGCACAGACCTGTCTTGAGAAAGGGTGGGGTGGGAGGATGTTCCTGGTACATTGGGCTGGCCTGGAATTCATCACGTTATCCATCTGGCTCAAGCACATGCTGATCTTTCCTTAGCCTTCTGAGTGCTAGGATTGCAGGCATGCCTAGCCACAGCAACTTTTAGACTAGTGTTTGATCAAGCAGCTAGGTACTACAGCCTAGCCATGTTAACTCGTGAGAGTTACCATCCTGTCATCCTGCTGTGTCTTCGTTGCTCAATCCAGTGGGCTCGTAACATCCGTCCTCACTTGGTCGTTGCATCACATTTGACACAGCCTCTTTTGAAACCCTTCTCCGCCAGTTTTAATGATTGTCATCTTCCATTGTTCTGTCCCATGACTGTATTCCTTTTCTGATATTTCAAGGAATTGCTTATTTCCTCCCGACTCTTTAATTATTGATGGTCTGTGTCGTTTTCCTTCTATTTTCTCCCAATCTAGAATTCTATCTTAAGAATTTTCTGTTGGTGCTGGAGAGGTAGCTCAGCATAAGAGCACTGGCTGCTCTTCCAGAGGTCCTGAGTTCAATTCCTAACACCCACATGGCAGCTCACTTCCGTCTATAACTGTTGTCTCATGGGATCCAGTGCCCTCTCCTAGTGTACAGATGCACACACAGATAAAACACCCATATACATAAAATAAATAACTCTATTAAGAAATTGTCTTTTTACCAAGTGTGGCAGCATGCTCCTTTAATCCAAGCACTTGGGAGGCAGAGACAGGAGGATCTCTGTGAGTTCAAGGACAGCCAGGGCTGTGTAGAGAGACCCTTTCTTTCCCCGTCCCCACCTCCCCCCAAAAAAAGAATTCTCTTTTTAGCTTCAGTCCCGTATATTCAGTTGTCTGCTGATCCCTACCTAGCTGGATGTTTGACAGACACCTCAGACTTCCTGAAATCTCCTCTAAAACGTATTTCACATCTCTTATCTATCTTAGCCAGAGTTACTTTTCACTCAGTAACACAAGACAGGAACCCATCCTCTCCCCTACACTATATAAAATCTCCTTTTCTATCTTAACCAAGATAGATCAACACTGAGGGGTTTTTTCCCCACCTGGAATCTTACTTGTTGATCTCTTTCTGACCAGATGTATGCTGCTGCAAAGTGATGTTTCAAAATGCAAATCTAGGGACTGGAGAGATGACTCAGTAGTTAAGAGCATTTATTGCTCTTCCAGAGGACCCAGGTTCATTCATCAGGACCCACAGACATTGCACTCACAGGCACAGACACAAACATAATTAAGAGTTATATTTTAATAAATGCAGACCTAACACCAGTGAGATGACTCAGTGGGTAAAGGCCCTTGCTGCCAAGTCTGGTGACCTGAGTTCAATCTCCAGGACCACACCATAGAAGGAAAGAACTGACTCCTGCAAGTTGTTCTCTGACTGCACACACAATCAGACGTGGTAAATAAGAATAGAATTGGGCCGGGCGATGGTGGCATACGCCTTTAATCCCAGCACTCGGGAGGCAGAGCCAGGCAGATCTCTGTGAGTTTGAGGCCAGCTTGGTCTAAAAAAAAAAAAAAAAAAAAATTTAAGATTTTGAAAAATTAAAAAAAAAAAAAAAAGAAATGGAAATCAGCTTCATTGTGTTTGATTCTTTCCGAAGCTTTCAGTTGCCCATCGAATTAGGATCCAGTTCCCTGGAAGGCATACAGGTCCTGCATGATGAGACTTCCCTCCTGATCGTCTACCAATGCTTCTTGCCCAGTCTACTTTCAACCCATACTAAAATACTTCAGGGTCCCAGATTTTTGTACCATTTGCCTCAATTTCTTGGACTACTGTCTTCTGCCTGGCATGTCCATGCCATTCTCTGCCTCCCTAACCCTGTTTTAGGGCATCGAGAAACATGATCTTAGGGCTCAGTTCTGTGCTCTTGGTATAGTCTTCCCCAGTCCCACAGACAGACTTGACTGTCTCTTGCAGCATCACTGTACCTTATTCTCCACGCATCTCTAGCACTTATTATTTATTATGTTTTCTTGGAGTATCGCTTTGCAGGGGTCTGTGAGGTCTTCCTGTATTTGCGGTGGCTAAACCGTTGCAGACACTCACCTGGCATGTGGTGTGGTAGTGGAAATGATGAGCCTGGAGTGGGTCCTAGCAGCTTTTTTAACTAAGAGCATGCTTCCGCAACCAGGATTCCTGGGCTTGGGGACATGGGAAGGAGAATGGCAGTTCTCTTAGTCCTTGTCCCTTCTAGAAACTGCTGCTCCAAATTTAGCACCAGATTCCCTTTGGTCTGTACTTCTATAGCAATCTGATATCTACCCTCAGCCTTTGTTTGTTTTAATTTGCTTATATCCATAGACAAGTTAAGAAAGGACATTAAGTACCATTACATTGTCTCACAGAGGAAATAAATTACCAACTTGTTCTCAGTGATTCTTGTTTGGGTGGCAACCCAAAAGAAAGGTCTTTTTCCAGCCAGTTAAAAAAGAAAAAAAAAAAAAAAAAAGGCTGGGGGTTGGTGGCACACGCCTTTAATCCCAGCACTTGGGAGGCAGAGGCAGAAGCAGGCAAATCTCTGAGTTGAAGGCCAGCCTGGTCTGCAGAGTGAGTTCCAGGACAGCCAGGACTACACAGAGAAACCCTGTCTCAAAAAACCAACCAACCAGACAACAACAAAACAACCCTTATTTTCTCAGTAGTTTTTAAATCTTCCTATGCCATCAAAATGTTTCCATGCATTTAATGTCAAATTAAAAACTAAGCTAAATCAGGAGCTTACTGGGAGCGATGGCTTAGCAATTAAGAGCACTGGCTGTTCTACCAGAGGTCCAGAGTTCAATTCCCAGCACACACATGACTGTTCACAACCATCTGTAACTGTAGTCCCATGGGATCTGATGCCCTCTTCTGCAATGCAGATGTAGATACAATCAAAACATCCATATACATAAATAAATAAATATTTAAAAAAAAAACTAAGCAGCTGGGTGGTGGCGCATGCTTTTAATCCCAGCACTCAGGAGACAGAGGTAGGCAGATCTCTGTGAGTTCGAGGCCAGCCTGGTCTACAGAGTGAGATCCAGAAAAGGTGCAAAGCTACACAGAGAAACCCTGTCTCAAAAAAAAAAAAAAAAAACCTAAGCAAAAGCGGTGTTAATCTTGAGGGGATAAATAATGGTTTTTGAAGATTGTTCACAGAATAATGAAGGTTTCTTATCATTTTTAACATGAAAATTTCAGGTGACCAAGGGTCACACATGTTTTCAGAGGATGGTGGAATGGTGGGCATAATGATTCGGATTTATCTGTTCCTCTCTACACCATACCTGTAGAAGTTCTTGTGGTGTAACTCCTTATGTATTTAATGCTTACCTGACTCTCAGTTTTCTCAGCTGTTTGTTTAATGGGTGAGGAGTCTGGTTGTAAGTTCTTTGCCCTGTATGGAATGTGTTATCTTGGATTTAGTTCTCTGTCCCTTCTCCCTTACTTAGTTTATCTTATCGTGTTGTGTTGTGTTTCTGTGTCGTTTTGGCTTGTTTTTTCATGAGTGTTGCTGCAGTTTGGTTGAGTTATCTGGCTTTGGGCATCCTTCCTGAACTTGGACTTCCTCTCCCCTTGTGACCTTTGGAAGGCAGAAATCAGTATTTTCTGTGGAAGATGAGTTTTGTTCCTTTTAACATTATGTATGTATGTGTCTCCCTCCTCCCCTTATCTTTTAAAGACGGGGAAGAAAGCGGTGAAGGCGGTTCTGTGGGTGTCGGCCGATGGACTCAGGGTTGTGGATGAGAAAACCAAGGTAAGGCTCTGGGAGTTCAGCGGTCCTGCTCGTGGTTCTTCTAATCTCTGCTGATAAAGTGCCATCAACTGTGGTGGCTCGTGATAGCCTGCCACAGGTCCAAAGTACAGTCTTCTGTGTCCAGGAAACTCATTGAGTAACTCATTTACTTTATGAAAAACAAACAAACAAACAAAAAAAAAAACCTCTCAACATTTTGTTCTGCATGACCAAGCATTAATTGTTTAATGCTAAGATATGAGTTCTATTTTTGTTCTATGTTTTTTTTTTTCAGATTCATGAGTATATAAGGTGATGTATCTCTTACTATAATTTTTAGATGACAGGCCACATCTTCCATTTACCCTTGTTCCTTAAGAAAACATGTTTTAGAAAGTGATAAATAAATTAGCCAACTAAGCTCAATTGAAGTGAAATTTTAAGCATTAGAGGTGAGAATTTATTTAGGATTCAAACAGTATTCTAGGCATTTTGTATTTCATAGAAAGTGACCCTAAGTGCTTAAGGTATGTAAAGATACTTAATCATTACTAAATTTTCTTGAGACCTAAAGTCAGGAAACATTTTTAACCAGAACTTAATTTGGAAGTGGATACAGTTGGGCAGACAAAGAACAGGTTTGATAAGCAATTTATCCCATTTTTTTGTTTGTTTGTTTTGTTTTTCAAGACAGGGTTTCTCTGTAGTCCTGGCTGTCCTGGACCTCTCTCTCTCTAGCCCAGGCTGGCCTCAAACTCATATCGGTCCACCTGCCTCTGCCTCCCAGTGCTGGGATTAAAGGTGTGCACCACCACCACGACCAGCTATGTCTGGTAATTTTTAAGTGGCTTAATACAGCTGCATTTCAGATCTTTGACCTTTTTTAAAGTTCAAAATATTAATAGCCTTAAATTTTAACACTTTTTCCGCCTGGAGCTGAGGACCGAACCCAGGGCCTCTCGCTTGCTAGGCAAGCGCTCTACCACTGAACTAAATCCCCAACCCCGTTAACAAATTTTTAAAATATCTTTTAAAACTTGTATAATTTTAATTCATGTTTTGGATGACATTTCTGTTTGAAAAGGGGTCTTGCTGTCTTTGATCTAACAATCCCTCTGCCTCAGTCTCCCGAGTGCTGGGATTGCAGGTTTGTGCTGCCATACCAGGCAAATTTGTCATACTTGTGGCTATATATTTGTTTTTCACTATTGTTGGAAATGGATATTGCCCCTTGGTAGCTATTTGTAGCACCTGCTTTTATGAATTTCATTCTTTCCACATTGATGCTAGCAACTGGTGGATAGGTTGGGTTGGGTCAGTAGAGACAAGGTCTCTCTATTTAGCCCATAGGGAGCCCATTGCCCAGTCTGGAATTCACTGTGCACCAACCCAGTTTGGCCTTGAATTTGTATCAGTTCTCTTGCCCTAGCCTCCTAAGTCCTAGGATTGTAGTTGTGAGCCACTATGAATACTGTAATTGGTGGACCATTGGATCCACTTCACCTATTGTCAGAGACTAAACACAGTGTTGGAATTAGTGCTTGTGACAAGGCCAGGCCCTGATCTGCACAAATTAATACAGATACAGGACTCTGAACTTCACCAGGCGGTGGCGGTGGTGGCGGCACACGCCTTTAATCCCAGCACTCGGGAGGCAGAAGCAGGCGATCTCTATTGAGTTCGAGGCCAGCCTGGGCTACAGAGTTCCAGGACAGGCTCCAAAGCTACACAGAAAAACCCTGTCTCGAAAAACAACAACAACAACAACAACAAGAAGTCTGAACTTCAGGTCCCTAGCCTTTCTTTGAGCAAGAAACTCATGTTGTGGTGATGCATCAGTCTCTAGCACACAAAGAAACAGAAAATACCATTTTCACCGAGAAAGCAGAGACCGATTCCCAAAATAATGTAGGTGTTAGAAGCAGCAGACAAGACTTGTAAAGCAGGTGTTACAGCTGCACTGAGAGATGTGGAAGGAAGGACGCTACTAGTCAGTAAACAACTTGAAAATCTCAGAAGTTATGAAGAGGAAAGAAGAAGCAAAACTCCTAGGACTGGAAGAGAAGATTGTACGTCTAAGAAATGCAGTACTTGAAGTGAAAAAAAATCTACGGGATGGAGATACAGTTAGTGGTTGAAAAAAGAAAAAGAATAGGACACTATCATGTTTTTGCTATATTTGCTATATTAAAACCAAGAGGATTTAACATATTGATTTATGGATGCATTAATGGATTATGTATGTATGGCAGTTACTGTGACAGAGCTCCAAGCTAGGACCAGCTGACACATAAGCACTTTAGAATATGGAGATGAAGTAAGGGAACCATTTGAGCAAAGTGATGCTTCCTAGTCAAACTCCATTCCAACTTCTGGATACAGCTTCCAGCTACTGGAAGCCCAGTTGCAACTTATGTAGGGATTATGCTTTGTAAAATGAACCCTGTGATGCTTCTAAGAAGACCAGATAACTCTCATAAGCCTTCGCTTGCTCTCTGCTTCCATTTTCTAGGACCTCATAGTTGACCAGACCATAGAGAAGGTTTCTTTCTGTGCCCCAGATAGGAACTTTGACAGAGCCTTTTCTTATATATGTCGAGACGGCACTACTCGGCGCTGGATCTGCCACTGCTTCATGGCTGTCAAGGACACGGTAAGTCCAACATGATATATACCGTCCTGAGGAGTCTAGCTGAGCTGCTGGCAGCTAATGTCGGCCAAGCAGTGCCACTACACTTTTAGTAAGGACGGGATGCCCGGATTCATTAAAGGGAAGCAGAGATGCCCTGGTGAGCTCATGGGCTGGTACCTTGGTTCATTCCCCAGCACCACAAAGAAAGGAAGAAAACAAAGAATGGGGGTGGAGGAGGAAAATACGTTACTGTAGTTACTAAACTTTAGTTGGAGCTTTTCATCAGTAAAGTGCTTGCAGATTTTTTTATTATTATTTTTTTTTAGAATAGAGTTTGGGAGCTGGAGAAATGGCTCAGTGGTTAAGAACACTGGCTGCTCTTCCAGAGGACCTGGTTTAATTCCCAGCACTCAGATGGCTCACAGCCATCTAAGCTTCAGACCCAGTGATCTGGTGTCCTCTTCTGGCCTCTATGGGTACCAAGCATGGACTGTGGATTACAGACATACATGCAGACAAAGCAACAATAAACATAAAAAAAATAATAATAATTAATTAAAAAAATAGACTTTGTGTCTGGACAGTGTTAAACGCCTTTAATCCCAGCACTTGGGAGGCAGAGGCAGGTGGATCTCTGAGTTCAAGGCCAGCCTAGTCTAGAGAGCAAGTTCCAAGACAGCCAGGGTTACAGAGTGAGACCCTGTCTTAAAATAAAAGACAAAAATCCGAAAATGAAAGACTAGTCTTTTATGATGATAATCTTCTTCACGTAACATTAAATGTGTAATTTCTGGAGTGATTTTTCTATTTCTTTTTTTTAATTTTTATTTATTTATTTTGATAGTCTTATGTAGCTAGGCTTACCTGAAACTTGCTATGTACCTGAGGATGACCTTTAATTCCTGATCCTCTCATCTCTGAGTTTTTGTTTGTTTGGTTGCTTGGGTTTTTTGTTTTGATTTTTTTGTTTTGATTTTTTGTTTTGTTTTGTTTTGTTTTGTTTTTTTGTTTTTCCAGACAAGGTTTCTCTGTGTAACAGTCCTGGCTGTCCTGGAACTCTATAGACCAGGCTGGGCTCAAACTCACAGAGATCCGCCTGCCTCTGCCTCCTGAGTGTCGGCATTAAAGGTGTGTGCCACTGACGCCTAGCCTGGAAAGTATTAAGTTCTTAAAAACCATAAAAAATAAGCATATAGAGGAGCTGGGAGGAGAGAACATCTTCGTCCTTATAACAGCTATGCTTGGATGCGTGTGGCTCTAATAACCTGGGTCCCCATGCACCCCACTTCTGTTCCTAGAGTTAGAATAAGTCTGCCAGTCGTCACATGAGCAGCCAGAGGTCCACAGTTATGTAATATCTTACACACATGAGCATTTTAAACATCACCTTCCTTTGCCATAGCTAACATTAGCATGTAAAATCCAGTGAACTGGCTTGTTCACAGCTGCCTACATAGTACGATTCTGAGAATACCACAAAAACTTCTCTGTTACCGGAGAACTCTTCTCACTGTGAATGATATCAACAGTTATTATACCAGCACCTAACTTTTTTTTTTTTTTCAGAGCTGAGGACTAAACCCAGGGCCTTGCGCTCTACCACTGAGCTAAATCCCCAGCCCCAAAACTTTTTTATTCTATAGTAGGGACATGGTTTAAAATACAGTAGCCTTGTCAAAAAGTAATCTATTGGGTTGGTAACTTGACTCTGGGTAATTGAATGTATCTATAAAATAATGATTGGTTTATATAACTCCATTCTCTTGCCACACACAAGCAAATCAGTTCCATTTCTAAGTAGGGCATAGATGAAAACATGTTTGCACTTTTGCCTGTGTGTGGTCGGGAGGTCCAGTGGGGAGTGAGAGAGCTAGATTATAGGGAAGGCATGAGGGAAAGCATGAGGCCGCCAGCATGAGAAGAGGGAGACAAAGCAAAGCGCTCCTTTACTGGAGTCCCTTTTAATGGGGAGTTGTTTTGAAGTTTGTAAGCCCCCACCCCCAATATGTTGCCACTGTAGTCAGCTCCTGAAATTCCTGCCTCTCCAGTGGTTTCTTAGGAATATCTGGCAAATGTTCCTGCTGTTTCCCTTTACAGAGCAACTGGAGGGCTGGGGGGTGGCTCAGTAGTGAGAAGAGAACCCCCAAATTCTGTCCCCAGCACCCACTGCAAGCATCTCACAATCTCCTGAAACTTCAGCTCTCGGGGAATCCAGCACCTCTGGTCTCTGAGGGTGCAAACTGTATTCACATGTGCACACACACACACAATTAAAAATTAAAGGGGATTGGAGACTTGAGTACAAAGACAATTCATTTTGCACATTAACTTTAAACTGGGATTTGCAGCAGCTTTATGTGTATGTCGTTGTTGGTGATGTGACTCTCATAGAGCTTTCAAAACCTGCTCTCTGCAGGGGGAGAGACTGAGCCACGCCGTGGGCTGTGCTTTTGCAGCCTGTTTAGAGCGGAAACAGAAACGGGAGAAGGAGTGTGGAGTCACTGCTACTTTTGACGCCAGTAGAACCACCTTTACAAGAGAAGGATCGTTCCGAGTCACAACTGCCACTGAACAAGCAGAAAGAGAGGAGATCATGAAACAGTTGCAAGATGCCAAGAAAGGTACAGTGTGTTCTGCTGTGGTGTGTTTGTTTAATGCAGGTTTTCCCAACAGGTTTATACTTGAAACTCTCAGAGACAAGTTTCCTACAGACAAGAAGAACCCTTGGGATTGCAGAGCTAGCCCAGTGGTAGAGCATTCCCGGTCTGGGTTCTGTTTTTATCGTTCCTTCTCCCCCACCTACACCACACCCAAAGAGAGATCTCTTAGCGATGTAAGAAGACCAAGGTGCTTTCTTTCGAGTGACTTAAAAACCATCTCTCTCCATTATAGTCAGTTCCTCTGGGGAAGGTGGAGAGCAGTTAAAGAAGCTACAGAGAAATACCCCTTGCTCCCTGCCTCCTGGAGCAGATTTAATTCTGATGTGTCAGTTTCTGTGAGACACAAATACCATCAAAGACCTACCATCTTGGAGGACGAAGCACAAGCCCCCAGGGTTTAAAGACTGGCTGTGATGCTGGCGGAGAGTTAATGATGATACTGTGCCAATCCTGGGTGCTGAAGTATTGATGTTTTTACTTTTGTATGAATGCTCGTGTGAGAGAGAGTATGCGGAAGCCCAGAGCCAGCATCAAGTCTTCTTCAGTAGTGCTACGTTATTCTTTTTTTTTTTTTAAGATTTATTTATTATGTATACAGTGTTCTGCCTGCATATATGCCTGCATGCCAGAAGAGGGCACCAGATCTCATCACAGATGGCTGTGAGCCACCATGTGGTTGCTGGGACCTCTGGAAGAACAGCCAGTGGTGTTCCTAACCCCTGAGCCATCTCTCTGGTTCCTTCCACCTTACTCATTAAGACAAGGTCTCGCCGGGCACTGGTGGCACACACCTTTAATCCCAGCACTCTGGAGGCAGAGGCAGGCGGATCTCTGTGAGTTCGAGGCCAGCCTGGTCTCCAAAGCGAGTTCCAGGAAAAGCGCAAAGCTACACAGAGAAACCCTGTCTCGAAAAACCAAAAAAAAAAAGAAAAGACAAGACAAGGTCTCGGTTCAACCTTGTCCCCTCAAGTGCTGGAATCTCAAGGGGACCACCATGCCCAGGCAGCATTTACGTGGACCCCGTCTTTTGTGAGATTTGTACAGACAGCACTGCACTTGCCGAGCTGTCTCCTTGGCCTCTCATCACAGGTTATTACTATACTTCCAGTACCAGACATGAAGCCCCTCCTTCCAGTTAGCGAGTGATGGTTACTCCTCCAATAGACCTCATACTGGTGCTCCAGTGGACACACTGTTGCTGCTTGCAGGGTCCACTGCTGAGTGACACTGTGTGACAGTTCCCTCCAGCAGCCTACATAGCATCTTGTGCTGTGAAGACTGGCCAGCAGGAAGAAAACCTCCAGCACAGTTCTGACTTGATTTCTGTGTCCTATGCCAGAGCATGTGTTTTTGGCTATAGGATTTTACCATCCAGATGACCCACCATTCTTTTTTTTTTTTAACATTTGTGCATGCATATGTAAGTGCAAGTACCTGTGGAGTTCAGAAGAGTGTCTGAATCCCCTGTGAGCTGCCATGTGGGTGCTGGGAATTGAACCTGGGCCCTCTGGAAGAGCAGCAAATACTCTTTAACTACTGTATCATCTCTCTAGTCCCCAAACCATTATTCTTTCAAAGACCTTGCATGAGAACTCCATTGGAGCCGGGTTATTTATGTCTGTTGAGTCTTTTTTTTTTTTAACCTCTTTTTAAAGATTATTTACTTATTATGAGTGTAGGTATTTTGTCTGCTTGTATGTTTGCGCACCAGAAGAGGGCATCTGATCCCATGGGAATAAAGTTATTGATGATTGTGAGCCATCATGTAGGTGCTGGAAATTGAACCTGGGCCCTCTGGAAGAACAGCCAGTGCTCTTAACCACTGAGCATGTCTCCAGCCCTGTCTGTTCAGTCTTAATAGAGGATAAGACAAGCAGGTGTTGCTAGACCTTCATCTGTCGGAGTGTAGGAAGTCTGAACCATTTCCAGCCTGTCCTCTATAAGACATGGGGAAGTGGAGGAAGTTAAAGAGCAAGAGGGCTTCTGTGAACTCAGAAGACTTGAAGGTCGCTGCTGAGGTCTAAGGTCGTCTTCTTTGGTTTTCTTGAGCAGAGACAGATAAGGCAGTTGTTGGTTCATCAGTGGCCCCTGGCAACACTGCTCCATCCCCATCCTCTCCCACCTCTCCCACTTCGGATACCACTGCCTCTCTGGAGATGAACAATCCTCACGCCATCCCACGCCGGCATGCACCAATTGAACAGCTTGCTCGCCAAGGCTCCTTCCGGGGATTTCCTGCTCTTAGCCAGAAGATGTCACCCTTTAAACGCCAACTATCCCTACGCATCAATGAGTTGCCTTCCACTATGCAGAGGAAGACTGATTTCCCAATAAAAAACGCAGGTAATATGCTCTAGCTCTGGAGTGCCATCACCTTCAGTGACGACACAAAGTTTCACTTAGTGAGAACACTAGTCAATCCTGTCTCTCTGAAGCTGTTAGTTATATTGTGTGTCATTTCACATGAGAGCAAACTTAGGGCCCAGGCATAATTAACTTCTCTTCCATGAGTAGTTGACAGAGCCGTGATGGAATTCAGAGCTTGAGCCATAGGTCCGGTCTCTCAGCCAGACTGTTTCCAAACATCGGGTGCTCCGGATTCCCATTCCTACTGTGCTGCATAGGACCCGGGAAAACGAACGAGGCTTTAGAAACATTGACAGGTTCATAGTACCACTGCAGAGGAACAGAAGACATGAGGGACGCCTTTAATCCCAGCACTTGGGAGGCAGAGCCAGGTGGATTTCTGTGAGTTTGAGGCCAGCCTGGGCTACAGAGCGAGATCCAGGAAAGGCACCAAAACTACACGGAGAAACCCTGTCTCGAAAAACCAAAAAAAAAAAAAAAAAAAAAAAAAAAAGCACAGGGAGGTGAGATCTGTGGCCAAATAAAACTAGGCTTAGGAACAGTTGGAGGTAGGTGACCCCAGGAAATCTTCTCAGCCTCCAGCACCCTCAAAAACGAACTCCAGATGCTTCACATACTGCATTGCACTCTCCCTCTGGGGCAGATGAGGCATAAAAGTCTTTCTCTTTTCACAGATGAACAAAGGTACAGTACACATCATTTCCTTGCTCAGTGATAAGGAAGTGTTCTCAGAGTCTTGTTTTCCCCGCACACAGGATCTCACACTTGCTTGGACCCACGCTCTGGGCGAAAGCAGTCTTCCTGCTTGGCTTTCCAGAATTAGTATTCAGGAGAGCCTTTAGTGCCCTGCATTTCATTTCACTTCTCTTTGATACCATAGTTCATGTGCTAGAAACTTGAACAAAACGAGAGTGCCGACGTGTCCCGATTGATTCAGGGGAAAGCCTTTGCATCCAGCCTTAACGTTTTTTGGTTGGTTGGTTTGTTTGTTTGTTTGTTTGTTTTGGTAAAATTGCTTGACAGCTCTAGAACTTGATTGGGTCATAGCTTCTAGGAACTGGTTGAAAGGCAAATAGATTGCAGAGATCTTCCAGAAAGATCCAGCTATTACAAACACTCTTACATTAAAACAAACAAACAAACAAACACAAAAACGAAACAACAACAACAAAACCACACGAAATTCCCAAGAAAAAATAAAGAATGTAGTGGTTTGCAGAGACAGGCACTCTGTCTTAGTGCGTGAGTTACTGATGCTTTCTCTCCCTTCCCAGCTGACAGCTGAAGTGTCCATCAGTTAATTTACTGAGGCCGATTGTGTAGCCTGACAGTTGAGACTTGTCCTTCTGCAGGGGGGAGACAAAGTGAGAAACGGCTCTCACACCATCCTGCCACATCTCAGGGCTCTTCCGTCCTCTAGAACCCTTGTCTTTGCCTTGCAGTGCCAGAGGTAGAGGGAGAGGCAGAGAGCATCAGCTCCCTGTGCTCGCAGATCACCAGTGCCTTCAGCACACCCTCTGAGGACCCCTTTTCCTCGGCCCCGATGACCAAACCAGTGACGTTGGTGGCACCGCAGTCTCCTGTCTTACAAGGTTGGTAGCCTCTGACCTCATTTGTTCTCTTTAAAGCTAATCCTGTTAGCGTGCTGCTTGTGAAAGGAAGTTGGCATCCTGAGCTTGCCATTATCCTCATCTTCCTGCCCAGCCACCCCTCGGGCTTTGTTCCCCTGCCCGTCTCCTGAATTGTCTCGTCATTTAGCACACAGACTTCTGTCTTTCATTTCCTAGTAAGAACTTCTGTAACCTCAGTCCGCACTTTATTTGCCTCTTGACTTGAGGGTCAGAGCAGCCAGCCAGCTTTACAAATCGGCAGCTCTCAGAACTGGTTCGGGCTCTGTCCTTCTAGCAAAGTGATTCCCACCAGGACGGTTGTGCCCCGAAGGAAAATCCGGCAGTCATTGTATGGAGACATTTTGGAAGGGAATGTTAATTACAGCATCAGAAATCGTGCCAAACATTCTTCAAAGTGCAGGACAGCACCCACAGCAAAGAATTACCCATTCCAAAATGTCAGTGGTGTTAAAGTCGGGGAGACCTGGACCTGCCTTCCTTCTACCGAGAGGCTTGTAACGTACAAACCTTTTTCTGGCTCACTGGTTCATTTTAGGTCTGTAACAAGTATCCTAAATTGGCCTTTGTGACAACAGAGTTAATTATACTGCAAGGTTAGAGCCCCCCTGATGCTAAACGAAGTTCTCACTCATAGGTCAACAAAGAATTTACGTAAACTTAAATCAGTGACTTCTGAAGTAAAGCTCCAGTGATTGCCCATTCCCATCTTTTTTTTTTTTGGTTTTTCGAGACAGGGTTTCTCTGTGTAGCTTTGCGCCTTTCTTGAATCTCGCTCTGTAGACCAGGCTGGCCTTGAACTCACAGAGATCCGCCTGCCTCTACCTCCAGAGTGCTGGGATTAAAGGCGTGCGCCACCACCGCCCGGCCCCATTCCCATCTTTTGAGATTGCAGAGAAAGGCTGCCCTGCAGGACAGTGCCATACGCCTTTGTTTGGGTCTAGATCTTGATCTCTGTCTCGTTTGAAGCAAATGCCTATAATCGTGTGTGCTTTAGATCATAGATTTTCTTTCCATCTGACAGGTATTTGTAGTACTAGAAAAGATAAGCTTGGTCTGTTGAGCACCCAACTGTGCCTGCCACAGTGGAGAATCCTCACACGTTATCATTTAAGCCTCAAATAGCTCTTTGAGGAAGGCATTACAAATAACAACAGTGGCTGGGTGATGGCGCACGCCTTTAATCCCAGCACTCAGGAGGCAGAGGCAGGCGGATCTCTGTGACCACTGGTCTACAAAGCGAGTTCCAGGACAGCCAGGACTACATGAAGAAACCCTGTCTCAAAAAAAAAGAAAGAAAAGAAAAATGAGGCTCAAAGAGGCTAAGTAGGTTGCCCAAACTGTACAGGCTGAGATTTAAACTGAGATCTTCCCAGAACCAATTACATCCCACTGGCCCTGTCTGCTTACAGGGTACTGGGTCTAAAACCTGAACAGAACATAATCCTTGGTCTTTAAAGGCTTCCAGTCTATGGCTAAGGTGGTTTTTTGTTGTTGTTGTTCAGCCCCAGGTAAAAAATACTATCACCCTAAGTGTGGTTGTCCAGTCCTAAAGAAGCAGGGTTTGTCATAGGGCAGGGGAAGGCACTTGTCTGCTCCATGCTGTGTATGATGGAGAACTGGAACACAGACTAGAAACTGATGAAGGAGTAAAAGAAACAAGGGTTAGGAGCTTGAGTAAAGGAAAGGAGGGAAGAAAGATCAGCATTGGGGATATTATAAATATTACATGGGGCAGCCGGGCGGTGGTGGCGGCGGCGCACGCCTGTAATCCCAGCACTGGGGAGGCAGAGGCAGGCGGATCTCTGTGTTTGAGGCCAGCCTGGGCTACAGAGCAAGATCCAGGACAGGCACCAAAGCTACGCAGAGAAACCCTATCTTGGAAAAAAAAAAAAAAAGAAATATTACACGGGGGGAAGACTTAAAGATATAAGCTTAATTTTGTAGTAAATGACAAATGTATTAACATAAATGAAAACACATACCATTTGATCTCTCATCTGTTGTATAGACATACTGTAGTATACCCCTTACTCATGGTCTGTATTTTTGACATTTCAGTTGCCTGTGGTTAACTACTATTTCAAAATATTAAATAGAAAATTCCAGGAATAAGGAATTCATAAGTTTTAAGTAAATTTATTACAATATGTTCTTACAATAATTGTTATTAACCCCTCAGTGTGTCTAACTTACAAATTAAACTTTATCCCAGGTACAAAGGTATAGATAAAAACAGTATTATATAGGGTTTTAGGCATCTGTAGAACATCTGGGAACTTATTTCCCAATTCCAGAGTTATGGGACTTTTGAGAGAATTAAATTTGGTGATGTATATAAAATATTGTTGGCCTGATTTGATCTTTTGGAAAAGTAAAGAAGAATGAAATGTGCTTTATCTACTTAATTAATCCAAAGCTTAGTTACATGAATAGTCTTGTTCACCTTCATTTGGAATTGTATTAGGCTTCATCTCTCCTCTCACGTACATGTTTTCATAGCACAGTCATTTGGTACACTCTCTTCTTTGTCAAAGGTGTGTGTACCCGCTGTAGGGTAGCATGGTCACCCCAGCATCAGCTGCTCTGCCTTGTCTGTCCCACCGGTGTTGTGCATTGCCTGATGGACCCCTCTCTGTGGGGTAGCTTGGACACCCTGCATGCATTAACTCCATCCATGTTGTCTGCTCCCATTGTAGCTAATGGCACTGCCTCAGCCCTCCCTGTGCTTACTGCTAAGCCAGCCAGTACTGCTCTAGCATCCGTAGCAATGCCTGTGCGTGAAACCAATCCTTGGGCCCATGCCCCTGATGCTGCTAACAAGGAAATTGCAGCCATACATCCGGGTAAGGTGGCCACAGATGTGAAGTGGATTCTGGGAGCAGGTTCTAAAATCGGCCAGTTCCCTGAGTGAGGACTATAAAAATACATTCCCTCCCAGACAGAAGAGGCTGTGAAAAAAGGCTCTAAAGCTGGGAACAAAAGGACTAGATGGGAGGTTCTCAGGACTGTAGAACCTGGCTACTGTAGGGTTTTAATGAGCCACCACCAGAGAACCTTATCACTGGATTTAGCAGCACACACAGCTGTCTGTAGGTAAAGGTAGCCTACCAAAAGTGCCACAAAGAGCGCACACACACACACACATTTACTAGCTTTTCTGGGGTGTTTTGAGGCAGGGTCTCACTATATAACTGGCTAGAACTCACTCTGTAGACCAGGCTGGCCTCGAACTCAGAGACCTGCCTGCCTCTGCCTCCTGAGTGCTGGGATTAAAGGTGTGCACTACCAGTCCTGGCTTTATGTGTTTTTTCTTTTTAATTATTCGTGTTTCTGGGGTTTTGAGACAAGAGTCTTGCTATATAGCCCTAACTCTTGGTCCACTGCCTCAAACTCATTGTTCTGGGAACGCAGGTGTGCACCATTGTGCCCAGCTCTTTGACTCACCAGAGTATTATAAGCCAGTTTCTCTACTGTGGATGCACGATGGCAACATGATAGGTTTTTTGTCACCAGTCACCTGCCTTGGTTCAGGGCATTTGAGCCATAGCTGAACAGCCTCAGTATGCCTTAAGATAATAGCATATTCTGACAGGTTCTGCTTGTCCCACCAAAGCAGAGCTCCTTGGCTGGTGACACCTCAGTGCCTCTACCAGAACCACGTGTCCCATCATGGGGCACGGTCCACATTTTAGGATCATTCACATAATCGAGGGTACCAAGTGAGAACGGCCTCTAATTCTTCCTCCCTCTCTTTCTCCATCTTGTGATTCTAGGGACTGAGTGGGGTCAGTCTTCTGGTGCTGCCTCTCCAGGTCTCTTCCAGGCTGGTCATAGACGAACTCCCTCTGAGGCTGACCGTTGGTTAGAAGAAGTATCAAAGAGCGTCCGGGTCCAGCAGCCCCAGCCCTCAGCTGCCGCTCTGCAGCCAGCTCTTCAGCCTCCTCCACCTGCCGCCACTGCCCCACCAGCAGCACCTTTCCAAGGAAATGCATTCCTCGCCTCTCAGCCTGTGCCCGTCGGTGTGGTCCCACCCCTGCAGCCGGCCTTTGTCCCTGCCCAGTCCTACCCTGTGGCCAATGGGATGCCCTATGCAGCCTCTAACGTGCCTGTCGTGGGCATCACCCCGTCCCAGATGGTAGCTAACGTGTTTGGCACTGCAGGCCATCCTCAGGCCGCTCATCCCCATCAGTCCCCAAGCCTGGCCAAGCAGCAGACATTCCCTCAGTATGAGACGAGCAGTGCTACCACCAGTCCCTTCTTTAAGCCTCCTGCTCAGCACCTCAATGGTTCTGCAGCTTTCAACGGCGTAGATGATGGCAGGCTGGCCTCAGGAAGCAGGCACGCAGAGGTCCCTGCAGGTGCCTGCCCCGTGGATCCTTTCGAAGCCCAGTGGGCTGCACTAGAAAGCAAGTCCAAGCAGCGCACTAACCCCTCCCCTACCAACCCTTTCTCCAGCGACTTACAGAAGACGTTTGAAATAGAACTTTAGACAATCTCTGTGACGTGTCTTTTCTATACTTAGGCAAGGACAGGGGGCAGAGGAGCGAAGGGGACTGTGCCTTCCTGATGAGTACACTTCACTAATCCCTAAGTCCCAAGGAGCAAGTCCAGTGAGGGCGGTGTCCACCGAGTGAGCACTTCCGGAGAGGACCGCCCTGCAGCTAAGCTAGAGAAATCAAGGAAATGTTGCCTTGCAGCCTCTCTCGTACCCTTACAAGTCTCTGGCAATAGAGAGGCCGAAGTATCTGAAGAGGAATCTGTATTCAAAGCACATATACTGGAATATAAAACGTAACAGTAAGCCAAACAATCTCCCTTTATTTTTCAAGCCAGTCACCCATTCCTCCCAGGACTGGCCTGTCTTAGCTCTATAGAGAACAGTGTGGCTTGTGCAGGCTGGGAAGCAAGGCAGGCCATGGCCTGCTGGGTTCACAGGAGGGCACAGCAGCAGCTGCCCAGCAGAGCTATGTACTGGGGATAAAGCTGAGCTTCCATTTTGAGTAACAGGATAAATATTATAAATATATATATATATATATATATATATATATCAAAAAAGCCAAATCTTTATTTTTATGCACCTAGAATATTTTAAATAGTTCTCAATATTAAAAAGTTGTATGAGTTGTAAGTAATCTTGCCAAAAGTGAGCGGGTTAGTTGTAAGAAATTGTACATAAGATTGATTTATCATTGATGCCTATTGAAGTAAAGAGGGAGGGTTGGGAAATGTAGGCAGGAGCCCTGGCTTGTCTGTGATCATTCATCGTAACTAGTGCATTGCAACAACAATCATACTGATGACCAGTACAGTCACTAGGTTGTAGTTCTAAATAAATCGAAAGCAGTGTTGTCTTGTTTTAAACCTATGGTGAAATTCTAATGTCATTATTTTGATGGAATCAGTCTACACTCTAGAGAATGTGTATTATCTTTTGTGTATCATTGCAATCGCCTCCTGTTGATCCTTCATCGTCAAGGTGACAGAGACATCATCGTATCCAGAAGGGGACGCAGGCTGTTGTGTTGGTTTGTAGTGTGGGTCTGAATGGGTTACCCTTGACGTTTTGTTCCCATAAGTTTTGTAGGACGAGGATTCTGGATTTATCTGCTCTGTGTGTCAGTCCCCTTCCCGTCATGAACAGAACATCCCATATGGCCAGTTGCAGCTACTTGACCTCGGCTAACACCGTGAGACCCCATCTCATTTTTACTTTTGAACGTTGGCCTTACAATCAAATGTAAGTTATATATACATATATATATATATATTTGTACTGATGAGAATTTATAATCTGCTTTAACAAAAATAAATGTTCGTGGTAGAAGCTTTTGCCCACAATGGGCTGTTCTTATTTGCAAATGAGTTTACAGTTGTGTTTTTTTACTTCTCTCTCTACTGCCCATTTCTCGTTTGGGACTGATTATCCTTAAACGTCATGGGTGCACCTGTGACTCTGATGCTCAGAGTCTAATCTGCAGCACCAGTCGGGACTACACCCAGAAGCCGGAGACTCTTAGGGGGTGGAGTGGTGCTGTGTGTATAGAGACAGGGTCTCACTGTGTAGCTCTGGCTGGCTTCGAACTCACAGATCCACCTACCTTTGCCTCTCAAGTACTGGGATTAAAAGCGTGCACCACTACTACCTGACAGAGCATTGCTTCTCAGCCTTAGCTGTCTGTTGGAATCCCTGAGGTGTAGCTCAGAGGAATGTGTGTTCAGCATGCTTTAAGATCTCCCAGCATGCCGGGAGGCAGAGCCAAGCAGGTCTCTGTGAGTTCGAGGCCAGCCTGGTCTACAGAGCGAGTTCCAAGACAGCCACCAAAACAACACAGAGAAACCCTGTCTCGGAAAAAAAAAAAAAAAGATCCCCCAGTGCTCACAACACACACACACACACACACACACACACACACACACACACACACACACACACACACACACGACACCTATAATACCCAGCCTATTCACCAGACCAATAAATCAGGATTTCAGTGGGAAGAACACCAAGTTGTACTTTAGATCTTGAGGAGATTGTTTTTGGTGGTTTGTTAAGCTCTGTATAGCAGGTTAAGCACCCCTGGACTAGTGTAGTTTACCACTCACTTCTCAGCCCCCTACTTGTACCTGCAAACAGCTGACACCCGGATGTTCCTCATCTCTTAAAGAGGCAGGCTCTGCCTCTCTCTTTGTTGAGCTAGATGGTCTGAGACATCACTTATACATGAAGCTTTGTTTTCCAGCCAATGTCAGAGCTTTGGTCCCATGGTTACCTTTGATACTAGATAGTCTTCTAGGGGAATCAGAGAGTGAAAGTGGGAAAGCCTTGGAAGTTCATTCTTGCAGGCCTCTTCCTTGAGTGTTATTATTAAGAAATCAGAGGTTCTAAAAGACGAAGGATCCCTTCCTACATCTCAGACTACTAAAACCACTTCCCCAATTGTGACCTTGCACCCCCTCATCCTGCTAATACTGGGTTTTGTGGGTTGGGGGGGGGGCGTTGTTTACTTTGAGACAGGATTTCACTCTGTGGCCCAGGCTGGCTTACACTTGGGGCATCCTGCTTCAGCCCCTCAAGCTTTGGGATTATAGGCATGCACACACCACCATTCCCAGTTTTTGTGTGTGTGTGTGTGTGTGTGTGTGTGTGTGTGAGCACGCATGCGCACACCTAGTAGTCAGAGAAGAACTTGCCTGAGTCAGTTCTGCCTTCCACCAGTAGGTTCCAGGGAACAAACTCCAGTCGTCAGGCTTGGCAGTGAGTACTTTACCACTGAGCCATCTCACCAGCCCCCAGCTGCTGTTCTCAGCATAGTTCTGATTTTTCTCTAGCAACAAATATTCTGATCCACAGATTCCCACTTAAGGAACCATGGCTCCTCTTGGCTGCTCAGAGCAGGCCCGTGAACTGTGTAAAGGAGGAGGAAGCACGTGAACCTTCCCAGCCCGCATTGTGAGGCAGCCCCAGAGAGCTTCAAGGCCCATCTCTTTGGTGTAGTTCTTTCCCAGTTCCTTCACACCCAGATTACAGTGCTGTCTGGTTTCTTCACCCCACAAGCCTACATTGAGGCCTGCTGGTTGTATCTACCCTGCTGAGAGCTTTGCCGAGCATCAGTGCGGACTCCATACAGTGAGGGCGTTGATGCCAGCTGTGCCACCTCCTAGGAAGATGAAAAGGCCTGATTGACAGCTCACCACCTGACCAGTGACTGGGTTCTAGCACAGCATACTTGTGACTGAGCAGTTACCACTCCCTCCTGTCACAGACCTCCCCACCCAGCTTGCTCTGCGCTGTGCTGAGTGGATCCTCTACAAATTGAGCATCCCTCACTCAAAATCAAACATACTTTCAGACATTTTTGAAGGCTGACCTGGCATTTGGGTGTTTCAAGCTTCAGAGCATTTCAGATTTTTAGATTAGGGATGCTCAATTAGTAAAGTCTGCAAATATTTAAAAGTTTAAAACCCTTTGGTCCCACACATTTCAGATAAAGGATCCTCAACGCAGCAGAAACTAGAGAGAGAGAGGTGTAAAGTAGCAGTTCTGTATAGGCAGATTCCTCTTCGCGGCAGCCTGAGGTCAGATCAGACAGCCCCTGCGGAGCACTACAGGGGGAGGCTGGCACTGGCAGCTGCTGGGGCTTAGCCCTGGGTTTCTGAGAGGGCCGGTATCTGAAAGGTGACTCCCTCTGCAAGCCCTGTCTTACCATCCCCTCTCCCCAGCAAACTGTCCGGAACTGGCGCCGCGGCTTGCCTTCATCCCTGCTGCCCGGCAGGCTGGGCGTTTGGCTGGAAGCGAGAGCAGCTGGCACAGCAGAAGCTGGAGTAGTATTCATTGCCACAGAACTGGGCCTTGAGGATCAAGGCACAGTTGGCCAGCTCCGGCTGGTCGATGCACTCCCTGCCCAGGTTCCCGGACCGAGCGGCTGATCCTGCAGAAGAGCAGGAGAGAAAGGGCTGAGGCAGCTGCTCTCTTGCTGCAGCATCTCACCTGCTCCATACTTGATCAGCAAGAAGGTCGTGTGCCTTCCACCCCTTGCTGGCCTCCCTAGTGGTCCTCCTGTGAGTCTTATCTGTGGCCTCCACCCAGTGCACAACCTCTCCCAGATTCCCACTTACTGACTGGACCATCAAATGGCTCTTCCAAGGTAACTCCTGCCCTTACTGTCCAGAGCTGAAGGGAGGGCCACATGACGGCTGTGTTGGCCCGGATTGGGAGGAAGGACAGGTAGAGTCAGTCCTAAGAAGCTGGAAGTCATCCTCCCTGGTGCTGCTGGGTCCTCCAGCCACCCCAGCTTCCCTCTGTCTCCTACCACATCTTTCCTGGTTTCCACCTGAGAAAGCCCTGGTGGTAACTGTGGCTCCAAGGCTACACCAAAGCATAGCCCGTGTGCCCCCCTCAACCTTCCCAAGAGTTCTTGTAACTCAGATGCATCCCACGGCCTCATCCCAGTTCCCCTCTCTTCTCTGCAGGCTCTGTGCAGCACTGTTCCCACTGTCCCCACAGCCAGGCATTCAGGACTGCGTATCTTCATGTCCCTGTTCCTTCAGAAGACACCATGCAAAGACCAGACCAGCTAAGGTTTGGCATTGTGCCTGCCGTTTTTTCCACAGTCTGAAACGTGGATCTCAGCTATCAGCTGCTGCAGCCCCAACTGTATCATGATAGGTGCTCTGCACAGTGGTCAAGACTGATCCTTCCTGGGGCTGGAGAGATGACTCAGTGGTTAAGAGCACTGACTGCTCTTCCAGAGGACTGGGGTTCAATTCCCAGCACCCACATGGCAGCTCATGACTGTAACTCCAGTTCCAGGGACCTGACACCTTCCTACCAACACACATAAAATAAATTATTAAAAAAAAAAAAGACTATCCCTTCCCTAAATTCCCTTGGGCCAATTTCCTGAGCTCTCTGAGCCTCTGCTTCCTCCTCTGTGAAATGGGGGGGAAGCAGCCTCTTCCTCAAAGGGGTGTTCTAAGGACTTACAACAGCTGGGCCCGGTGGTACAGGCCTGTAACCTCTACTCGGCTTCAAGGCCAGCTGGGGCACCTCAGTGGGACCCTATCTCAAACTGCAAATACCAAAAAGAGGCATGGGAGTATAGTTCGAGTAGAGTGTAGAGTGCTGACCTACAGCATACAGAAACCACTCCCGGCAGCACCCAGGGCATGTAATCCCCGTGGCAGAAACCTGAGTGCTTACCGCTGTCTTGACCCCACAGCAGGGTCTTCCTCAAAAACTGAGACAGGGACAGAATGTGTGCCAGACTACCTTCCCTTCCTACAGTATTTCCTGCTCTTTGCTCAGTCCTCATCGGCAAAGCAATTCAGAAGTTGCCCCAGCATGTGTGAAACCTAAGCCATCGCCCCATGCTAACACTAATTCCAGTGCCACCAAGCCATGACTTGGGCAGCACGAGATTATCAAAAAACCAGCTAACGAGCATCTGTCTGCAGGCTGGGCGATAGAAGGGCTACAGACAGGTAGGAAGGGGACAGCTGGAATTCTGGAGAGATGCCTCCAAAATATGGAAGGGCCGCAGCCTCCAGCAGAGAACAAGAGAAAGGAGGCCTCTCGGCGGCCACAAGGGGGTCACCAAAAGCCCGCTGGCCTCCATTGTCGGACCAGCTTCTGGTTATCATCTGGCCTCCCTCGCAGTAGACACATTACAGTTGGTCACAAACGTGAAAGTCCGGATCCCCTCGGGTTGTTTGTTTTAACACAGGGATGTTGTTCACACTGGACTCCCACTGGTAATCCTGCCTCTGTAGCCCAAGTGCTAGGACTCCTCTGTCCTCCCCCCTGACCATAGGAAGTCTGCATTCGTGGTCTTGTTCGTTTGGTTAGTGTATAGATGCGATGGATTTTCTAGAAACATCCAAGGTGGAAGTCCTGCAATCCGGTGTTTTCACCCAGGTGCTGTTGTTCACACAGGCACACTGAGCCACCATCTATCTTGAGTTCCTGGGTTGCAGAGCACTGGCCTGGGCTCTGGGATCCCAGACACTGCTTAGGGAGCTCAAAGTCAGTGTCAGTCTCAAAGCAACATGTCAGCACACACCTTCAACCTCTGGCCAGTTCCCACAGCCTCGCAGCCGAAAAGACAGCCAGGACTGACCCCAACCCTGCTCTATGGGTACTGCAACTCTGCTTGTCATGAATGTTCATGCAGACCAGGGAGTTAGTGCCCCATTTCCTCCATGCCAGGTACCCTTCTCCAGGGTCTGCCTCAGGTCTCTGAGAACTGGCCAGAGACTCTGACCTGTTGCTCAGTCCCTCCCTGAAACACTAAGACCTGTGGAGCGCAGAGTAAGTGGACCCTTCCAGCCTTGTCATTTAAACACAAGCTCCTGTGAGCTTCAACTTTGAAGTCTGGTTTCACCAGTTCTAAGATGTAACTTAAAAGCAGGCATGGTGGCACCTGGGAAGCAAAGGCAGGGAGATTAAAGTTGGGGCTAGCCTTGGCTACATACGGAAATCAGTAAACAAAACCAGGAGTCAAAAAAAGCCTGTGTCTGGCTGCCAGCTGTCCACAAATCTGCTGTGTGGCCGGTGGGAACATCCCAGAAGCTCTCTGGGTACCTGTCCCATGGATAAAGAATGAGGGTGACCCCGCCCTCTGTCACATGCCTAGATGATCAGAGAGGCACTTTTCCATCCCAGACCCATTTATATAAAAATTTTAACTGTGCATCATTTGGAAAGGAGACTGTACCAAACACTGATCAAAGAATCATCTTCCCTGTGCCTTTTCTTAAGAATAAGGTCTTTTATTTACGTATATATTTACTTATTTGTCATGGTGCTAGGGACAGAGCCTAGGGCCTTGCACATTAGACAAGAACTGCTCTGAGCCCCAGCCCCACAGGACCTTCCGCCGCCCGACTAGAAGGGACAGATTGTAGGGTCCAGCCATCTTAAGCATTATCCCAGCCAATCTTATTTCTTGAGACTGATAAGTCTGAATGGCAGACTTCTGAGGCACTTGCAGTGCCAGGCTGAACACCTTGCCCTCGCGTAGTGGAGCAGCCCCAGGAAAGTGAGGCTCTGGGGTGATACCAAAGGCCTACCCCCAATTGCAATACCAGAAACTAGGAAGTGAGCATGGGTGAGAACGAGATTGCTAAGCCCGTGACCTGTGGTGCTCGGCTGGCTTAACCCAGGGACGAGCCTCTCTCACCTGGTGGGGCCACCTTCACCTTGGTGCTGCGGCTCACAGCCTGGCTTCCGCGGTAGGCACTGCACGTGTAAGAGCCTTCATCCCTGGGCTGCAAGTTGTGAATCAACAGTGTGCCGTCTGGGGACTGGTACACACGGTGGCCATCTGCCTGTACTGGGAGTCCATTCCTGGAGGGGAGAGGACATTGAGAGAGCCATCCAGGGGCTTGGGGATTTAGCTCAGTGGTAGAGCGCTTCAACTGGGTTCGGTCCTCAGCTCCAGAAAAAAAAAAAAAAGAGCCATCCAGGGCCTCTGGAGACATGCCCTAGGAGGCCTGGGAAATAAGACATTAGCCAAGGCTATTCCAGAGCTATTCCAAGGCTATTCTCTCCCCGTGAGGGCAAGTAGATAACATGCTCAGGGAAGTGGGGACAGGTACCCTAAATTAGTAGGAGGCCACTACCAAAGCCAGGAGGCACAATTAAGCACTGAGTTATCAGTCTGCCTTGGAGCCACAACGGAGCCCACTCCAGCTGGTCACTGACAGATGCCAGGCCGCGTGTCAGAGTGAAAGGTACATATACCTTCATGGCACAGGGGAGGGCGCAGGTGTCCAGGGAGCCTTCCACAAGAAGGGCTAGCTGACCTGAGGAGGGGAGGCAGCAGCCGGGCTGCCAGCGGAAGGAGAAACGGCACTTTGGGAACTAAAGACAAGCCATGGCCAGAGCAAGGAGAGGCAGGAGGGAGCCAGGCCGGACTCTTAGGCTCCCAGCAAGGGTTTAAGCAGGCTCTGGAGTGACTAGAAGGATCTGAATGGAGCAGGGACTGGCTGGGGTGGCCTGGAAGAAGAGGAAGCAGGGGGTAGTTGGTGCTTCGGGCACATGGAGAAGATGCCAGGGCACTGAAGTAGACGTGGGTGAAGGTCAGATGTGGGAGGTGGAGAGAGGAAACTACAGATTGGTCACTGGGCGACGGTGGTTCCAGGGACAACCTTCTCTTCCCATGAGGGCAGAGAAATGACCAGGTCTCAGCTCACTAGTGCCCTCCCAAGTAGAAAGGAATGAACAGATGTTTTGAATCTGGGGTGCCTGTGAGATCTGGAGCTGGAAAGTCCAGACCCAGAGTATCAGCGTGGAGTGACCCCTGGAAAAACACATCTCCAAAGTTGTCCAAGGTCCCAGCTCTGAGGACCGTGGGGCAGCCCTGGAAAGGGGTGTTTGGAGAAAGATCGAGTGACCGACGGGACACCAGCACAGATGAGGTAAAGACGGACCACCCTGTGGTGGTGGGGTGGTGATTGGTGGCCTCTCCGGTGGCCTCTCCGGTGCAATGTCCCCTGGAGCAGGGGCTGGCTATAGGTAGAGCAATGATCAGGACAGACAGCAAGGTGTACAGCCATGCTGTGAAGGGGGCACTGTGAGCACTGAAGCCCCTGGCACCAAAGCCACCTAAGAGGCGGCTGGCCTGCATTGCTGCCATCACTCACCACCAGTGCCTCCCTCCAGGAAACGCTCGCCTTTGGTCACTCGTTGCTCCTCCCAAGAGCATCTTCCTTCCCTCTCCTTACCCTCCCTGGCCTCGTCCCTGACTCTCCCAGATCCAAAGCCTCACTTCCTTCTGTGCACAGCCAGCACTTGGGGGAAACCTGGCCCAAGGCCATCTCTCAGCTCATCACGCCCCGAGGCTCAAGTGGCCCCCAAATCTCCAGACACTAACCTAAGTTCTGACATAGTCTAAAGAAGTAGAGACAAAAGATAGTTGCTGAATTTAAAAAGAGCAGCTGATCTGGGACCGGTACACTGGAGCTGGGGCTGGAGAGATGGATGGCTGAGCGTTCAGAATGTATTCTTGCAGAGGACCAGGGTTCAGTTTCCAGCAACCACGTGGTGAGTCACAACGATCCATAACTCCAGTTCCAGGAGATCCTACCACCTTCCACAGGCACCAGGCACACATGTTGTACACAAACACACAGGCAAGCAAAACACTCATACACATAAACAAATTTGGAAAAAAAAAAAAAGAAAGAAAGAAAGAAAAACACCGAAGTCTCCAAAGCTGCATGCAGCCCTGTGGTTCTCAATATGGAAGAGACAGAACCATGTCTGGAAATACTGTTTTGACGTGGGCAGGGCAGATGCTGCTGGTTCCAGCAGGTGGATATTCTGGAGGCTGCTAAATATGCTGCCACGAACAGGCCTAAAACAGCAAGCTTGTCTGGCCCAATATGTCAGTGCTAAGATTAAGAAACTATAGTTTCTGGGTGTGGTGGCACACACGTTTAATCCCAGCACTCGGGAGGCAGAGGCAGGTGAATTTCTGGGAGTTCGAAGCCAGCCTGGTCTACACAGTGAGTTCCAGGTCAGCCAGAGCTACATAGTGAGACCCTATCTTGAAAATATCAAAAGAAAAATAGACATTAGCCAGGTGGTGGGGATGTACACATTGAATCCCAACACTCAAGAGGCAGAGGCAGGTAGATCTCTGTGAGTTTGAGGCCAGCCTGGGCTACAGAGCAAGTTCCAGGACAGCCAGGGCTACACAGGGAAACCCTGTTTCAAACCCCTCCCCCCGCAAAAAAGGAAATTATGTCATCCAGCCAGCAGGAAAACTGTCCTCTGGGGCTTCACGGTGTAGGATGAGGGTGCTCCAGCCTCCAGCCCTGGCACCAAGCCTCAGGAGACCATGGCATGGGGGTGGCTGTGACATTTCTGACAGGATGAGGCTGTAAGGACACTTTACCTGGACCACCTAATGTTCACACTTTCTCCGTCCACCACACACAGAAGCCTTGCCGTGTCGCCCTCTGGTACCGTCATAACCGGAGGCAGGCCTGTGATTGTCAGCTCCCCTGGACATGAGAAGACACTGCCATGACTAACACAGACCCCTCCCCAACTCCACCCCACTTGACCAGAACGCCCACTGGCCACACTCAGCACTTCCTTCTTACTTACCCAGAACTCGGAGCTGGACCCAGTACTGGTCCCGGTCCTGCCCATTAAAAGCAACACAGGTGTAGAAGCCACTGTCTTCTGTGGCCACTCGGCTGATGACCAGAGAGCCATCGGGCTTCAGCTGGTGCCTGGGGACCAAACACAGTCAGTTGGCTTTGACCCACATAGGGGCTGAGCTGGAATCAAGAGAGGCAGAAGTGGGGAGGAGGGCTGAGCAGGGCCCCTACTATTCAAAACATGTCTAGCCAAAGAGCTGCTGGCCTCTACCCCTCACACAGTCCAATTGCCAACACTTAAGTTTACTTGACAATACCTGGCTTTTAAACTCAATAACAAATCATTTTGTTTTCTGATTTAAAAACTATTGGAAGCCAGGTGTGGTGGCTTGTGCCTGTAATCCCAGCATTCAGGAACTGGGAGCAGGAGGATTGCCATGAGTTGGATGCCAACCTGGTCTACATAGCGACTTCCAGGCCAGCCTGAGCTACAGTGTGATGCCCTATGTCAAAAAACATAAAGGGGGCCGGGCGGTGGTGGCGCACGCCTTTAATCCCAGCACTCGGGAGGCAGAGCCAGGCGGATCTCTGTGAGTTCGAGGCCAGCCTGGTCTCCAAAGCGAGTTCCAGGAAAGGCGCAAAGCTACACAGAGAAACCCTGTCTCGAAAAACCAAAAAAAAAAAAAAAAACATAAAGGGGCCTGGGGAGATCACGGTTGGTAAAAGTGCTTCCCTTGCGAGTCTGAAGACTGAGTTCAACCCCCAGAATCCACATTTGGGGTGGGGCAGGGAGGCATGGTGGGGCTTGCTTGTAATCCCAGCACTGGGGAAGCAGAAAGGATTCCTGGGCTTGCTGGCCAACCAGCCTAGTCTACTTGGCAAGCTCGAGGCCAATGAGAGACCCCGTCTCAAAGAAACAGGTGGGTCGTTCCTAGGAATGATGTCTAAAGTTGACTTCTGGCCTATATACAGAAGTGCACACGGAGGTGCAACACGATTTTAGATTAGATTCTAGTTTGGCTTTTTGTTTTGTTTGTTTTTTGGGTTTTGTTTGTTTGTTTGTTTTTTGGGTTTTGTTTGTTTTTGAGACAGAGTCTCACTGGGTAGCATTTGCTGTCCTAGTACTCAATAGGTAGACCAAGCTGTCCTTAACTTACAGAAGTCCACCTACCTCCCCTCCAGGGTGCTAGAATTAAAGGCTTAGATTTCTGGGGTTTGCCATATGCAAAATAGACTGGAATCCTGATTCTGTCGTGAGCTGTGTGATATTAAGCTCCTGTGTGTAAACTGCTCACAAGAAGCACATACTTCAGTATGGCTCCCTGCGGCTCACACAACAGTGAACAGGCCTCAGTACAAAATCAGTAAATGTCAGCAATGGGGATCATCTAGGGGTGTGCAAAATCTGTCTCCCCGCTTGGCTGGCCTCTCACTTCCATCCGCTGTACTTTGGAAATGCCTAGAAGCCCTGTGCTCCAAACCCCATTTCTCCAGAGCCTGGAGTTCTGCTCTGGTCTCTATAGGATGTGTGGCTGGAGAGAGGCCTGGTCAGTAGGCAAGGGGCTGAAGGAACCTGGGAGAAGAGACCAGCTGCCCATCTCTTTGCCACTCAATGATGGGGGTTGGGAAGACTTCAGCATGGCAGGTCAGCCGGATCTGCTGGCCAGGACTGGCATCCACCACCCCAGGCCGAGTCCGGTCCAGACGCAGCCTATAAAACAAATTATGCACACTGAGGGGACCTGGCTGCGGCTTCTCCCCATAACACAGTCCTCTGCACAAGCCCCTTTCTCCCTTTCTGGTCAGGGTGGGATCCCTAAAATTATCCCTTAGTCCTGTTCGGGACACCAACACTGGTGTTAAGAACTGGGGGTGAAGGCCCAGGGCTGGCTGCCAACGTGGCCGACTAAACACACCCAGAGTCTCTGCCTACCTTCTCCTGCCCTACATATCTGCCGCCAGGCCCTGACAAAGATGCTCCTCCGCCACGAAATCCCCTGAGGTGGAACCACCCCTCAAGGCCAGCTTAAGGGGCCAGGCTTTTCCAATTGTCACCTCTCGGAGCCCAGGGCACTGGCCGATGAAAACCCAACCATAGCACACCCTTTCCCTTCTCCCCTATTGAGACCATGGACCCCGAAAGACTCTGAATATATTATGGTATATTCAGAGACCATTAAAATATGCTGTGCAGTTACCTGGTGGCAGGCCTGGGGTGTAGGGAAGAGGTAGCCCCTTGGCCCCCAGCTCCTGCTCCTGTTCCGGAGTCCCGAGGTCCATGGCCAAGGTCTGGGTTCCTGGTCTGAGGGAACGGTCTTGGCTGGACCTCAGATAGCACTGCCGTGTCACCCCCTGTCATGAGGCCAAAAGAAGCAAGTATGAGCTCTGAGGAGGATGGAAGAGGGGCCATGAGACCAGGAGAGACAGTGGAGAAAAAAGGACAAGATAGTGTCCCTGTCCCAGGAGGAAGTGACCAAGGAAGAACTTGGGCCTTTCTAGGGTGGGTCAGGCCCTCCCTCCCTCCCTCCCTCCCTCCCTCCCTCCCTCCCTCCCTCAGTCCCACTCTGTTTTGTGAGAGCCTGGAGGTGGGGGTAGAGGATGGGACAGAAACCTGTGACTCGAAGCTGGATTTTCTGGGGGTCATGGCCTGGCCTGTGGCTGCCACAGTCATAGACACCGGCATCCTCTGGCCTCAAGGGGCTGATGATGAGGGAGCCATCTGACTGTAGCTGGTACCTGATCAGGGGGAGGAGAGATATACCTCTGGGCTCCTGAGGGCAGTACGAATCCTCTGGCACCCACGCTAACCAAAGAAGACCAAACGGCCCCACAACACTCGGAGCCCTCTCACACTCCCAAGGAATGCCAGGGGTCCTCCGCAAGAAAGGGCACTGCACATACGGGAGACGGAACGTAGTGTAGCTCGCCACTATCCCACAGTGACCCTCTCACGCAGGAGGTGGGACCACAGTTTTGCACGCACCTGTCGGAGGAGATGGTCTCACCGTCTTTCTGCCAACCTGCCTGGAACTGCGGGTAGGTGTTGCCAGGGCAAAAGAGCTGTACCGCCTGCCCGACGGCTGCTTGAACCAGGGAGGGCGCCGAGCCTGCCAAGCTGATCCTGGAGAGGGGAGAGGGATGGGTCTGCCTCCGAGCACAGGAGCAGGCCACCAGGGAGCTGTCTCTTGTAGGTATCTGCAGGGCTAGAGTCCCATGGGAGACTCTAGCCTTCCCAACCCTGCCACACCCCAGGCATTGCCCCTGAGCATGTGCTTTGGTTTCTTAATTCTGTTTATTTCCCCAACCCCCTTATTAATATGATGATATTATTAATGTGATGATCACAAGAGTGATTGATACATAACAGAGCCCATATCAAAACTTACGATATATTCAGGGAATGAAACATTACGTAACACCATTTTACAGGTCAAGAAACTGAGGTTTGGAGCTGGCTACCTAGACACAGACTGGGAACAGATACCTCGGCTAAACCTACATCCCAAGGACCTCAGCATCCCTGTCTGTCGTGTGATGGTGACAAAACCCACCTGGTGGGCTGTCTCTCTAGGGCTCAGCCCTGGCCTGGGCATCCATTGCCCTTTACCTGGGAAGCAGGCCTCACCTGTGGGAGGAGCTGTGTGTGGGCGGCACTGGTGGTCTAGCATCTCTACCCAGTCCAGAAACTCTAGGCCGGAGCTCCTGATCTCCAGGTCGTTCTCCATAGGCTGGGGGGTGGGGCGCCTCCCCGGGCCCTGGCTCTTGTCCTCTCTGCCAAGGGCTTCCAGGTGAGGGCAGTCTCGGGACTGTGGCTCTTGTCCTGTGCCAATCGGGTTCCTGCTGGCCTCCAGGACCATGTTGGCCACCGTTCGTGTGGACATGATGGCCAGAGGCCCCTGCCCCAGGATGGCGGGGCTCGTGGTGCTCCCGGCAGTTATTCATGCACTCCTGCTCCGATCCAAAGTTATTGGCATTGCCGTGGCAGCCGCCATACCAAAAGCGGTTACACCGGCCCACTGATGCCACAAAGTACCAGCGGGCAGCCCAGTCTCCACATGACCCAGGAGCGCTGGGCAGCAGACACCTCACTGGGTAGGCTGTGGATTGTGGATGGAACATGTCACCCAGGTGGCCAGTGGTGACACTGTCCTCTCCCCTCAGCCTTTAGGAGCATGCCTGCCCTGGTTTATAGAGCACAGCTCCACCCTTGCCAGGACCCCTAACCTCCCCTAGGAGCCCAGGACACCCCCAGCATCTTTCCTAAGACTTGCTTAGGCTGGGTCACATACCAAACTAGAACCAGCCCAGGAAGAGAAGACCTTGAGCAAGCTCTCTCCTGCCCCTTCCAGCCTGGGCCTCTTGGGGTGTACACACAGACCAGCTAGAGCTTGACTTCCCTGTGCCCTCCCCTGAGGGGCTGTGAACATGCCCAGCAGGAGACCCGGCCTTGTGCTCATCCCCAGCCTCTAACCTGCTTGTCCTCACAGCCCTGCTGGCCAGCACGGATAGCCTGCTCCATCGCTCCACGTTCCAAGTGGCTATGGCTACCTGTCCTGGTAGCCACCCGTCTGCTGAGCCCTGGGCCACCAGCCTGGCAGACTTCGGATGCATATTCCCATGGCGGCAGACCCCGGGAGTTCCACCCACTGGCCATCCTGCTCCAGCCCCCACCATCTCTCTAAAACTCAGCTTCTACTCCGGGCAACACACACCCTGTCTCAGGCATGGGCAAGCGCTACAGCACTACCTACCCACTTTGCCCTTCCTGCCTTTACTGTGGGAGGAGCCTGACCCCCAGATGGACTTGTTTTTACTTGTGATACCCACTTTTTTTTTTTTTTTTTTTTACAATCTTATTATCTCAGACTAGCTTTGAACATGGTATGGAGCCAAAAATGACCTTGAACTTCGATCATCCCGCCTCTACAAGTACTGGGAATACAGACCTGCACCACCATATCTGGTTTATGTGGCCCGGAGGATTGTACCCAGGGCTTCGTCCATGCTAGGCAAACACTCTACCAACTGAGCCGCAACCACAGCCCTGGGAGCTCCGTTTATAACCCTCCCCAGCCAAGAGCAATCATCATAGATGGAGGAACAATCGGTCAGAAGCCTCTGGCCTGCGAGCTAGTGCATGCTCAGGAACTGGGAGGTCTTTGGCTGTGCGCAGGGGATGAGGACCCAGCGAGACACCAGAGTCCACCCATCCGTAAGGATGAGAAGGGGGTACCCGCTCACCGTAGCTGGGCTGGCCCCCACAGCCTTCCCCCAGGGGACCAGCTGCAGAAGCCACGTTGTCATAGCAACAGCCGAACTGAGAGGCCCGACACTCTCTGGGTTCGCTCTGATGGGCCTGGGGTTGGTGGATCTGGGGGACCTGGAGAGGAAGCCAGAGGTTGGGAAATTAGGAATAAATCTTGTTTTCAGTGGGGAGCTCGCCCAGAGGGAGGATGACAGGAAAGGGAAGGGGCGCACACAGCTGTGAGGCAGAGGCAGAGAACCCCACCCAGGCCACCTCTGAAGCCCTGCTCTTTGAAAGGATGGCCTAGGTTACCAGGTTTGTAGGGTCCTCCCTTTCACAAGGCTGAAGCTTCAAAGATCCCGGTAGCCCTGAGCCGTGTTCCTGCCGTGGAGCTACTACTCACCTTGGAAGCCACTGCCCTGGACCCTGGCCTGTTCCCGGTATTGTCCCTGCCGTGAGACCTGGGGCAGCCAGCCTGCTGGGGCCCCTCAGCTGCAGACACCCCATCGGGGCAGCATCCGTACCTAGAGAGCAATACACAGCCACCCTCACTGCCCAGCCCTACCCCTGCCCTCCCATGGTCCCTGGTGCCTAAACTCCCAGGGCGGAAGAGGCTCTGAGGCCACTTACTTAGGAGGCTGTCTGGGGAAAGACCTGACTGAGAGAGCCTGTTCCTGTGCCCCAGGCTCTGCTCACCACCCAGCAACTGCCAGGGAAGGCAGCTGTAGCAAGCTGCAGCTACAGCCCGGACAGTGCACCTCTGCCTGATGCATGACGCATCCTATCCCAAACCCAGAAACAGGGATGCAGCTAAACCTGCACAAACATCGGTCTCCCAGGAGCTCCCAGAAAACTGCAGTCCATCCTTGATCTCCCACAACCAGAGTTTTTGAAGCAAGGTGAAGGGAGGGAGGGCAGTCTCCCTCACAACCTCCCTCAGCAGGAGCCATGGGTTCCTGGCTCTCAGAAGGGGAAGCCAGGAGCAGAGAAGTCACCCAGCAAACAGCTGGAAGTCACTGGCCCTAAATCCCAGACCCTTATTGCAGTCCCTCAAGGAGCCTGTGCAATGTAGGTCTCTCGGAAGAACCGCAGAGAAGACATTTGGCCAAGTGGGGTGGCTCAGCCCCTCCCAACAAGGCTGAAGGAGTGTGTTGGTAGAAGACTTGAAATGTAGCCAGCTTCACACTGAGCTCCTGAGCCTGGCATGGACCTGAGAGCTGGAATCACCTTTCATGCCTGCTCCAGGCCTCAGGCTACCTCTCCACAGGCTGGGCCCGTTAGAAGCCCATCAGGAGGAAGAGAGATCCACCCACCCAAAATGGCACAGTCAGGGTACCTCAGGAATTCTAAGCTGGGCAAGTCTGCCCTGGGCAGGGATGCTGGCCCCACCCAATGTTGCCCAGCCTGACCTTCCTCCTCTTGCCTGCTGAGGAAGAAGAGCTGCCCAACCCACCTGCTCTGAAGACACGAGGCCCCAGCCAGGGGACAGCCTTGCCACTGTGGCCCAAGAGATGGTGTGTGGCCATCAGGGCAGCATCCGTGGGGGCTGTGTCTGCAGTCACGGGGTCCTGAGTTAGGTCTCAGGGGTGGCCGGTGTGGAGGGTGCTGCAGAGTGGGGGCCCGGCCTGCAGCCGACAGCTGGGGATCCTGGCCCTCTCTGGGGTTACTCTGAGCCCTGGGTCGCTCCTGGGCAGCCCACCACTGGTCTCTAGCATCTAAACAGGAGGGAAAAGAAGATCACTGTGGTGTACCCAAAGCTCCTCGCCCTCATCCCAAGTCTCCCTTCAGACCACCTTCCTAGAACTCCACTCCCTCTAGACCACTACCAGGCCACCCAGGCTCATAGATGACAGGGCCCTGGGGCAGGGACCCAGCTTCTCACCTGAGACTGGGGACACTTGAGGGCCTAAAGGCATCCTGGGGTGTGAGGGGCGGGTCCGTGAGTCCTGTATGCTAGGGACCTCTGGAGAACCAAGTAAGGGGTCGTGGAGCTCAGCCAGAGAAAAGCAACGCCCGAGATAAAGATCAACATCCCAACCCCGAAAACACACCCCGGCTGAGACTTGAGACTGTATTGGCCTTAGTCACAAGAATCCTCCTGCCTCAGCCTCTCAGGTGCAGGGATTATGGGTCTGTATCAACACGGCTGCCTCAAAGATTTCTCTTCACTTTTCTGCATGGCTGGATTTTTTTTTTTTTAAATCTTGTCCAACTTAGTAAAATTACTAAATCATTGTCCAGTTAGACCAGGTGACTTGGGGGCCATGACAGCTGAGCTGGTAGGGCACTTGCCTGGCATGAACCAGGCCCTGGGTTTCAGCCCCAACAGCCCCCCCCAAAAGGAAAAAATGGATTTTCATGGCATTTAGTAGTTAATAGTCTTAATAAAATTGCTAGATCTTTTAAATCATAAAATGTCAGAGAAACTGGTTTTTTTTAATGAAGAGGAAAAGAAACTAAGTAAGCAGGGTACCCCCAAAACAGTCAGCACTTCTTAATGGGGGGGCTTTCCTGCTCTTCCACAATAAACTTAGTTTGACGGGATAATTAACATCACCAACTCGAGAACACTACAGTGGTGGGTTAGCGGAGAAAGTATGCACCACGCAGGTGTGAGGGCTGGAGTCCCAGAACCACAAAAAGTGACCTCAGAGTTCCAGGCCAGCCAGGGCTACATAGTGAGAATCAGCCTTTAAAAAAGATAATTAAAGCATAATTGTGGAGAGGCTGGAAAGATCGCTGAGCAGTGAAGAGCAGCAGCTGCTCTTCCAGAGGACTTGAACCCGAGTTCGAGTCCCAGAACCCACAATGGTGGCTCACGACCATCGGTAACTCCAGTTCCAGGGGATCCAGTGCTGTCTGGCTCTGTAGGTACCATGTGTACACAAGGCACGTAGATGGACATGGAAGCAAAATACCACACACATAAAATAAAAATTTAAATATAATTTTTAAAAGACATTTCTAGGTCTGGTATGGTGGTGCACACCTGTAATCCCAGCACTTGGGAGGTGGAGACAGAGTGATCAGGAGTTCAGAGTCATCCTTAGCTACATAATGAGCTTGAGGCCCGCCTAGGCTACATTATACCCTGTCTCAATAAACCAACAATGATAATAATAAAGCATCACTGTGTCGCCCTTTTCCAGTGCCCCCAGAAGCATCACACACACACTAGGTACCACTGCCCTCTTAGCTCATGGATTCCTGCCTTCTCCTTCCTGGGGTTCTTACATCTTGTCTGTACTTCAAGACTGCCCCTGGGTGTGGGCCAAATCTGCCTCGCCCTTCCTTCGGAATCATGAGTGGCTCAGCACCCCCAAGGACTCCCACCGGCGCAGACACGGTGCCCCAAGACAGCCACAGGCAGGACAGTCACCCTTGCTGCCCTTGTCCGGGAGAGAGGAACCACCCTTGCCCAGGGCCACAGTGTAGCCACCATGCTGGTGCTCTGAACCAAGTCCGCCGTTCCCCTGAGAGCCTGTCACACACCTCCACTGGAATCCTGCTGTCCCCAGCTGGAGGTGCCTGTAGCTCAGAGTCCCCACGAACCAGCCCTTCAAGGACAAACCTACTTTTCTCAGAGGCTACCCGCCCGCCCTCCCTCCCTCCCAGCCAGGACCCTGACTTTCTCAGGTCCACACAAGCTCTCCCTCTGTAGTCTGCATGCCTGAGAAGCCTTCTTCCCCAGAGGAATGGGGGTGAAGGGGCGCAGGGGAGAGCGGGCAGGCAGGAGCAGTATGCTTTCTCTCTCTATTCAGCCATGCAACCAACAGTGAAGTATAGGTACTAGGCACTGGGGAACACAGGTCCCGTGCTCGGTACTCTGGGGGAGATAGAGAGAGGAACGGGAAGCCATGGTCCTCGCCCTTGGGAAGCTCATACAGTGCTGTAGGTGGATTTGGCAGCAGCAGAGGCACGGGGCACACCCTCCCTGCCCTGTCCTCACCATGAGGAAGATGGCAGGGCTGTCTGTTGCAGGGCTCCGCCTCAGCGGGCTTGGATGACTGCAGGTCCCTGCAGTGACCGGGCGGCCCGATGGCGCAGGTGACATGTCGCCTCCGAGTACCCAAGCCACAGCTCTTAGAGCACTGACGGCCCAGGGTGGGAGTGGAGAGAGAGAGAGAGAGACAACCCTGAGGCCAGGCACACACCCTTGAAGAAGTGGGGGGCAGTGCTCTTCACAGGTGCGTTTGCAGAACCTCCCGGGACCCCAGGGACCAGGGCTGGACAGCAGGCGTCGGGAGGGGACGCACACTTACCAGACTCCACGCGCCTACGTGCCAGGCCTGGCCACGGAGCACAGGACAGGCCTCTTGCACACAGGGCTCAGTGGGGCTTGGCTGGTCCTTCAAGGAACATGCTGTGACATGGACCGGAGACTCCTGATCCCCCCGGCAGGTGACACTCCTCTTCCTGATGCCAGCTCCACAGGTAACGGAACACTGTAAGGACAGGCTATCAGCAGGAACGTCCCCCAGAGGAGCCCAACCAGCCTGGCTTAGAGGGCAGATGGCACTCGGCTGCCCTTATCTCACTCCTCAGCCCAGAGAGGCCGAATCACTGCTCTGAAGTCACACAGCCTGAAAGGTATTTTTCACACTCCTCACACGCCTTTATTGTATTTTCATTTATGTGTATCTGTGTGTCTCTCTGTGTGTGGGGGTGTCGTGAGATCAGAAGAGGGAGTCCGATCCCCTGGAGCTGGAGTTATAGGCCATTGTGAAAAGCCTGACCCAGGTGCCCGGTATCAAATTCAGGTCCTTCTGGAAGAGCAGCAAGCATTCTTAACCACTGGGCTGTCTCCATAGCCTCCATGCCCTGTATTTGCAACTTGGGCGCAGGAGGCAAGGCTTCCCTCACCCCCAGACACATCCAGCTCTGTCTTCTCACCAAGACAAACCCTGTCCCATCCAGCCCTGGGATGCTAAAGTCAGGAGGACCCTGGACCAGAGTCTACAAGTTACATCTCATCATCCCAGCTTTGGCCACATCTTCCAAGATGACCAGCTAGGTCCCTTACCCTCCGAGGACCTTAGCTTCCTGCCGCAGCAGAAGACAAGCCTTTCAGCCCAGACCTGCTGCTACCCAGGCCCAAAACCCAGCTCCTAGTCCTGGGCAGGGCCTCACCTCTCCCCACGGCTCCACGCTCCAGGCTGCACAGCGTTGCCGGTTGCAAGCCTGTGTGGTAGGGGGCTTCCCAGGTAGACCAGCACACTGGGTCTCCTCAGCAGCTTCCTGGCCACCAGCCCCATCTGAGGATACGCAATAGACAGAGCGAGACTGGAATCCACCCCCACAGGAGACTGAGCAGGGTGTCCACGGTCCTACCTTCCAGCTGACAAAAAAAAAAGGAAACAGATAAGACTGGCGTAGGAGGAGGCTGCAACTCCCCAACGCAGAGTGCACTGAGGGCCCACCCCACCGCTCCCCAAGAACTCTGTGGAGACCACCAGCCAGGCCCTCCTAGGCATCCCCTATGGCTCAGTGGCCCCTGAAGGGTCTTTATCACAGATAGCCTGACTGCTGCCCCTCGGCTTTCATTTCTGGGCCTCAGCTCTCCCTTTCTCCTTCTCACTGGGTCCTGGCATCCCAGCCAGACGCCATCCCTTGCCCTCCTGTGTCGGGGCATCTCCCGAAAAGCTCTGCTCCCTGTATGTGGAGAAGCCCTGCCTGGCTGGGGGTACAAGGACCTAAGGAAAGGGAAGCCCCAAACACACCATGCAAAGCCAAGCCCACCACCGTCTCACCAGGCCAGGAGGGTGAGGGTACCAACACCAGCCCTCCAGGAACCCCCTGGCCCACGGATTACCTGTTCCCACACATATGCTGGGCCCCAGAATGGCGCCACGCTCCCGGACGGTGCAGGAAAGAGATCCTTTGTGCACGAACAAAGCATTTGCCAGAGTCTACTGGCCCTTTGGCCAGATTCCTGCCTCACCCCCAGTCATCTGTTTGAGCCCCCTGTTGCCCCAGACAGGAACCCTCTGGCGCTGTCCCCAATCCTCCTGTTCCCAGTCTAAGCATCCTGATACTGTGAGGAGACCCATGAACGGAGAGAACTGTCCTGCGTCTCATGCTCAGGCCCATTCGCTGCCTCCCTCGGTGATGGCCGCCACCTGATGTGAAGAGCCCTGCCCCCCAACCTCTTCGGCCTATGCCTGGAACAGTTTAGGGACTCCCCTCCCTTCCCACCCAAGTTCCTGGGCTCCACCATAGGTGGAAGGGGCTGGCAAGGCCTCACCGCTTGGTCTTCGGGCAGGGGTGAAGATTGCAGGCACGTCGGTGGGCTGGCCGAGGCTGGTGTCGGCACAGATGGTCCGGGTAGGCCTCGTTGTCAATAGTGCAGAATACCAGGCGAGTCTGGTGACCTGTCGGGAGGAGAGCCACACAGGGTTCTTGGTAGGCCAGTGCTCTTCAGATGAACTCGCTAGTCGGGCAACCCTTGCGGACTGGACCCACAGCTCACCCTGATGAAGTCCCACGTGTCCTTCTGTGACAGGTGCCACCACCATACCCAACTTACAGAGGAGTAAAGGGAGGCTCCAAGAGTCTTAGGTGTTAGTGACAGACCTTGTTCACGAGCTCCAGGCCTGGCCTCCAACCACAGTGGGCAGCCCTTCCCAGGAGATCTCTCTTATCCTAGCGAGGGTCGCAGCCCTTCCTGGGGACGTCTAACTTTTCCCATACATCGAGGTATCCCTCCCCGGTAGTGCTGTGACAGGACTGTCACCTGCCAGCCCGAGTCATTTGTCCTCCCCCAGGCCCCTGTGTTCACCTCCACCACAGTCCACGCTGCAGTCACCCCAGGACCCATGGCTCCAGCTGAAGCCTCGGCCGGGGTCATTCAACGGCAGGTAGTACTCGTAGTGCACGCCGGGGTTGGGCTCCTGGCTGATGAGCTGCAGAGAGTGTTAGCTGAAGTCCCTCTGCCTGGCCCATGGTAGCCTGGGCAGCCCACCTGTACAGGGTCACCTCCCTCTGCGGCCCGCTCACCTCGATGACCAGGGGCTCCGAGGTGGGGCCCCGTGCCTGGAGCCGCTCAGGGGCCAGGTCCCCCTCCACACCCCTCTCATACTGTAGGACCGTGCTGGCCACTGGCAGGGCCTGGGCTGCCTCAATGGTCCAGCGCCCGTTGAGGTAGTACTCTCCACCGACGCTCTTCACGGCTGCGGAGGACCCAGCCTGTCAGGGCATGTGGGACAGGCAGTTGCCTCTCTGAGCCCCAGGCTGCCCAGCTCCAGACCATCTCTCACCCAGGAAATTCCTGCTGGCCGCGGCTTCCTCAATGCGAATACTGGTGGCCCCAGCAGGAATGATGAAGATTTGGTTGTAGCCTGATTGGGACAAGATTCGGGTGAGGGGTGCCGGTTTGTTCCTGGAGGGACTTTCTTGGGGAGAGTGCTTTTGGCACAGGAACTAGCTTTACAAAGACCAGGTGGGGTGGGAGTAGGCTCAAGGGCCTGACATCTTAGGAGGAAAAAGAAACAGCCTGGGGACAAGGACAAGGCACGAGGGCAGGCGTCCAGTGTCGGTCGGCATTGTGAGATTAGACCACACACGTGGGTGAGGGTCCCAACCAAGGGAGGCACGTAAGGAGAGTCCTGTGAGGGGTACAGCCTCTGCCTTGCAGTCACATGACCTGAGCCAGACCTACTGAGTGCCATGAGGATCGCCTGGCCTTGATCAAGCCTTGGTGAGAGAAGGTGACAGGAAAGCCAAGGTGTGTGACCCCCCCTCCCCCTCACCTCTGCTGAGATCGTTGGCGTCAAAGGTTCCTGTGACAGGGTAGCAGGTTGAGCCATCACCCCCACACTGCAGACACTTGTCCTCCTGCTTGGTGGAGTCTAGCTTGTGATCACAGCCAACAACCTGCAGGGAGGGATAGGGAAGTGATGGCAAGGTGAGAGAGAAGAGGAGAGGCGTGGACACAGTTCCAAACGCGCCCCGGGCAGGACAGCGGGAACACAGGGACTGACATCCGCTCATCCATCTGCCCAGGCCCGTCCCCCAGCTCCGGCTAACCACCCCAGAGGTCATGGCTCTCCCTGTTTGGATGGAACTCCACAAAGGTGGGTTTGGGCATGCCAGAGGAACGTGGTTCCCTCCATGCCTCAGAGAATGGTTCAGGTGAGCCCAGGCTAACAGGGCAGAGAGCTGGGACTCCTGGGAGCTGACAGGCTGGTGTGGTAGAGGCTTGGGGCTGCCATCTTGGTGCAGGCTCATGAGGAGAGCCCTGCATGAGCCTGAAGCTGACGCAGAGGAGAAGAAAGCAAGAGACAGAGAAGTCTCTAGCATCTTTCCATCGCCTACAGCCATCCCTTCGCGTTTGGTTGGGGTCAGCATCAGCCATCTAGAGGGTTTCTTTCATGAGGTTAGTGTTCTCCAGGGCAAAGTTGAGGCAGTCAGAGAACATCTATAATGACTGCATTGCGTTCTGGGAGCTAGTGACTTAAGCCACCAAGCCCCTGGCAGCCACTTGGTCCTGCTGGTGCTGGAAGACACCAGCCATAACAATCCCCAGCCAGCTTGGAGGCCGGGCAGGGGCCAGACTCACTCTGCAGATGCCGTCCACACAGATGTCCCGTTTGCCAGGCTCGCAGGGTGTCCCGTCCACCACGGCCTCCCTGTGTTTGTAGTAGAAGTTCTCCCCCTTGGGAATGCAGTTCAGTTCACACTTGTTTGGGGCTGGGTAGGTAAAAGGAGAAAGCTGACATCTTGACACAAAAGTGTGGTTTGAATGAAAAATGTCCCCCCTAGACTCCTGTATTTGAACACCTGGTCCCCGGAGAGCAGTGCTGTTCAGGGAGGTCGTGAAACTTTGAGGAAGTACATCACCGGGGGTGGGCTTTGAAAGCTTAGAGCCTGGCTGCACTTCCAGTTGGAGTTCTTTTTGTGCGTGGTTGAAATACGATCAACCAGATTCCCACTGCAGCCACCAGTCCTCATGGACTCTCCCTCCGGGTTCATAAGCCCAAATAAACTCCTTTTACAAGCCATCTCTCACGGTGTTTTACTACAGCGTAGTAAAGAAAAATAACCAACGCCTGAACATCCGTTAGGGGCTGGGTGGGCAAGAGCAGAGCCAGCAGAGCAGGGTGGCGCGCTTACCCGCGTAGTAGGGCAGCCACCGGTAGCGCCGGCCCTGGAAGTCGGTGCCATCGAACTCTGCGCACTGCTCGGCCCGGAAGTCCCGCACGCCATCTGGGCAGCTCTGCATGGGAACGTGGATGCCAGTGTGGGCACTGGGGAGGCTGCCATCCTGCCCTGTCCACCCTCAGTGTCCTGGAGCCCTGGGGTCCTGCACCTCTGTCTCATCCACCCACCCCCGTCCCAGGAGGGGCCACCAGCTCTCCCATGGTGCCCGCAGGTCCTTGGAGCAGGCTGAGGGTGCGGTTTGGAGGCGGGGCTGTGGGGAGCAGGGCGGGGCCATGGGGAGTGGGGCGGGGCTGTGGGGAGCGGGGGCGGGGCCGTGAGGAGTGAGGCGGGTCCGTGGGGAGTGGGGCGGGGCTGTGGGGAGCAGGGGCCACGCAGGCTTTACCTCGGTGTGGCAGGTGCGGTGGCTGCGCGTGGGGCCCACGCAGCTGGTGCCTCCATCTCTCCTGCAGGGCGAGGACATCAGGAGACCCTAACCTCTCTACCCATTCCTAGACTTTCTTGGCCTCTACGGGGTGCCCTAACGGGCAAGGCTGGACCAGAGCCCAAAGCAAGGTGAGGAGGGGGTACCAAACTTGGAACCAAACCCCTTGGGAGAGTGTAACCAGACCGTGCCTGTACTGTTCTTAGGTGACTGTCTCCACCCTTGAACTGACTCCTATCCATAAAGCCCTTGAACTTCACATACTATACCCTTACCTGTGGGTAGTAAGTACTCCAGGATGTTTGGAGTTTGGGTTTTTTGTTTTTGTTTTGTGAGACAAAGTCCCAGGTTGACTCTGTAGCTGAGGATGACCTTGAACCTCCGATCACCTTGCCTCCACTTTCCTCGTGCTAAGATTACAGCGCTCCATACTCCCCCAGCATCTCAGGAAACAGTTCACAAACCCACCAGTAGGAGGCGCCTCATTACGTTTCCTTCGTACCGATCCCCCGACAGTGTCCATTAGAAAACAGGGCACCTAGTAAATTCTAAAGTCACCTGGGGGCAGGGTGTCCTCTGCACTTGACAAAGCAGCTGAGGGTAAAGAAATCCCAGCAACTAGGAACTTCGGGCTGACGTTCTTTGGTGGGGACGTGACAGGCAGCCCTAACCTGATGGCACTGTGTTTTTGCCTGCCCAGAAATGAACTGCTCTATCCCAGTCACTAGAGTGCTCAGACCTGAGTAACAATTTACACAGGTCCCCTGTGATGACTAAAGAGACGTAATAGCGAGCCAGGCATCCCTTAAGGGCCGTTGACCTCTTGCTCTGGAATGCCTGGAGATCCTAGTGGCCTGCAGATGATATAAGAATAGCATAATGGGCTGGGAGGTATTAACAGCTGCCTTCGCTTCTGTAAAACCCACTATCGGGGCTGGAGAGATGGCTCAGAGGTTAAGAGCACTGGCTGCTCTTTCAGAGGTCCTGAGTTCAATTCCCAGCAACCACATGATGGCCATCTGTAATGAGATCTGGTGCCCTCTTCTGTGTACAAAATAAATTAATAAATCTTAAAAAAAAAAAAAAAAAAAACCACTATCACGAGTTGGAGAGATGGCTCAGAGGTTAAGAGCACTGGCTGTTCTTCCAGATCCTGAGTTCAATTCCCAGCAACCATATGGTGGCTCACAACCATCTGTAATGGGATCTGGTGCCCTCTTCTGGTGTGCAGGCATACATAGAGGCAGAACATTGTATACATAATAAATACATAAATCTTAAAAAAAAAAAAAAAACAACTCTGCTTATCTCTATGGGAAAGGGATGGAATAGTCTTTTTATTACTATATAGTGGGAAAGTAATAGACGACTGAGGGAAGAAAAACAATGTTCCTGCCCAGCTGTGGATTCCATGGAATGCTCATCTTTCTGATGTCCGCCTTAAAACCTCCACCTTAAGCCCCCCTCCACATGGCATGCTGTATTGGCTCTAAGGCTGTGCCACCTTCTGCCAGCGGTAAGAATGAATTCCTCTAATCTAAATTTGAATTGAGTCTAAGTCTTGGTGTCTCCCAGTGGACTCGGAAAGCCACAACGCATTTTTCTTTTTAGAACTCTGCAATTGAAGCCCCACCCCTCTCCACCCCCACGCGCCAGGCGCCACGGGCTTCGCGCAGAGGAAGTAGACGGCCCAGCTCCTCTCAATCAAGGCTGAGGGTTGGAATCCGAGGGTGAGTACGTGGGGAACCTGTTTCCCTATACGCTCCATCACCCTTCCACGGTGAATCTGTCACATAATGACCCTGATGACAGGCTCCTACCCAGCAGGCAGCCATTCCTCACTTGCCCTCTTTTAAGCGGCTGGCAGGTTCTAGACCTCCCCTCCCTACCTCTGGGAGTAGCAGGGGCGCTCCCGGAAGCTGATGCCTCCTCCACAGGTCCGGCTGCAGGGGCTCCACTCGCCCCAGGCGCCCCAGGTGTCACTCTGGCGCCTCACGTTTCGAGCCTGTGGAAGACATACTCAGGCGGTGACTCACATCACCACCCCACCACCACCCCCAACACACACACCCTTGGGTCTTTTGAACCCGGAGCCCTGCAGAGATTCTCCCCGATCAATTCTAAGAGCCTGGGGGCTCCAGTACGGCCGGCTTAGGACACAGAAAGAAGCACAACCGGGTACTCCAAAATGTTCATTGCAAACTTTACGCGCTGTCTTAAGGAGTGGGAGCCAGCCTAGGTGTGACTGGGCTCAGCCCGCTGGCAAGAGCCTGCCGGTCCAGGGGCCCTGGAGGAGGGGCCCTGCAGCCAGTGCAGGTATTTGTGGGTCGACTCTAATGTGGAAGAAGGGACCCTGAAGAAAGAGCGGAAGGAACCTAGGCCGGGGGGTACCTAGGTGCATGGCTTTGAGCGGTACTCAGCTGTGGTCTACTCGTCTAGCAAGGTAGCCATGTGTTCTAGGGGTCCGCCTGACGGGGAAGGCGTGGCCAGAAAGGCGTGGCCGGGAAGAGGCTGTCTCCCCAGACTATGCTGTGCTGTGGCAAGTGCCCAGCTTGGCCTGGTGTCCCTTGAATGGAGCTTGTGGATCAGCAGACGCACCCTTGTCAAGAGAGACCTATATGGGATGGGAGAGATCATGGCAGGTCCTCAGGTAGGTGGGCCTCTATCTATTCAGGAAATGTAACCAAGACAGGACAGAACTTCAGTAGGATCCCCTGGAGAAAAGCCACCCCAAGCTAGTCTTACCTAGTCGTACCTCTTCTGCTCTGGATGTGAGCTCACGTCCAGAAACTCTATACTTCTGACCTATTAAACTAGAATTTAGTGTGGGTTTTTTTTTGGTGGGGGGACTACAGTATTCCGGTTAATCTGTGGCAGAGACTCCCAAGGATACCCCATTATTATTTCCCCTGGCCCTTATAAGAGAATCTGAAAAGTTGGCTTCTCGTTCAGTACTCTTCTTAGTTTCCTGTGGCTTACTGGCCCCATCCCTAAGTGCTCATCAATGACACATAAATACAAGTGTTGGCCAGCTGTCTCTAGTACTCAGAGAGACAGTGTGAATGGGCATGGTCTTCCTCTTCCTCCTGCATTCCCTTCTGCTGGAAAACCTGATGTAATGGCTAGAGCAGGAACAGCCTTTTAGACTGGCGAGTGACTTTGGAAGGAAGACCTCAAACGGTGAGGACTTCTTGAAATGAAACAGCCCTGAACTTCTGACCCAAGTGTTTATGTGAGAGGTAGTGAGTTAGACCTAATCTGCCTTGGTGAAATTACACAATGGAAATTCATTGTAGATGGGACACCTTGCAGCCAGCATCCCACGGCCACATGGTACACACATTCTCTCATCTCATCCTCAGAGGCCAGTGTCTCCCAAGAAAAGTGATGCAGAGGGATGGGCCGAAAAGGGTGCGGCACCGTACACTACAGGCCTCAGCACTCATCCTAGGGCTGTGCCTCTGCCTGCCTGGGGGAGCGGGCAGCCAAAGGAGACACTGGATCCTAAGGAGCTAGACAAGAGTGCAGAGAGGTAAACATGTCCATGTGCGGAGAGGGGACTTTATTTTGAGGTAGAACCTTTAGGGAATATAACTCCCATTATTTAAAAAGAGGTCAAGTGTGAACAAAGAAAAACAAGCCCTTCCCCAACGTGGAGCCTCTCAGTTAGCCAGCCTGGGGTGAGCAGGGGAGTTTGCTGAGGTCTGACACCAAGTATCTCGTTACTCCTGTTTTTATAGACCACAGTTTGGAAGCAGAGCGAACCGCACTAGGCTTGTTAAGCACACACAATGCCAAGCACGGGCCAGCCAGACCAAAGGTCTTTCCTCTCACTGTAAATCATCCCCCCCACCCCCACCTCCAGTTCTAGCCAGAACAGAACCTCCAGGCTTTCCAAACCAGTGAACCAAAATGCTCAGGTATTCCGGCAACAAAATGTAAACTGGTTTTAGTCGGCTTGAGTTTCTGTTTTGAAGGGGAGAGCTACTTTTTGTGTGGTAGGTATTAGGGTAACTTTCCAGTGGGCTGGGATTCTGGCCCATGTGATCCAAGCCTTGTTGTCACGTGCTAAGTACTAGGATGTGGCCCTTGGAGGCCTGCTGCCCTCGCGTGCCTGGGAGTGTCAACCCTTCCCAGGGTCTGTTTGGATGCTTGTCTAGTTTCCTTGATGCAAAGAGACTCCAGAAATCCAGCTCTTCCGGGTAGCGACAACTCACATGTCCGCAGCAGGAGGGGATGCTCTGGCCATGGAGTCTGACAGATAGGGGAGTGGTCTGAACTCTCTAGAGACCACACTCCTGGCAGGGGCCTTTTACAGACATCCCTTGCTTCCTGCCACCAGCACCTGTAGGTAAAGCCTCCTGCTGGTACGTGGGTAAACCCTAGTGCCTCTTTCCGGTGCGTGGGTAAACCCTGGCCTGTACGATATTGAACCACGCTCCCTGGACCTTGCCACACACATCAGGTCATGAGCAGCGTGAGTGAGCACAGTTTGTTCTCCATAATTATCTAAACCCCAAGCTGTGTGGTGGTATGAAGCCAGGGGCTGGTGTGGCCCAACCCTCTCTGGGCCTGTTCCCCGCCTGTCCCAAACTGCTGCCCTCAGCACCCCACCCTTCTTCCTCCAGCTCCAGCTCCCGGCTCAGGAGCCCCCTTTCCTGCCTGTTTCCAAGGGTGCCCCACTGTGCACCAGAATGTGTGGGACATAGACGATAGGCCAGGTGAAGGGACTCACAGCCACACTTTTAATTATTCATCTGGTCATTCTGTCAGGCCGACTAGTCAGCCTTGACCGGGACCCTGGGGTGATCAGGACATCATGGTGGATCCTGCCACCATAGAGGGAGCTAAGCTGTGGGCCTGGACCATACCTCTCTACCACACAGAAGACAGGGAAAGACCCCGACCTCATCTGGCTGGGCCTTTCATGCTGGGGAGGAGGCAGAGGGCCACTCAGGTTCCCTACATGGAAGAAGGGACCTTATAGGATCCAGTGTACTTTGCAATCATTGACTCATCTGTGTGACAACCTGTGGTGTGGTGTGGACATAGATTCCTGGGATTTGGCTGGTCTATCTGTGGCTTGGAGAACAGGCCGAAGTTAAGCAGCTGTTATGGTGTGGCTCTGGGGCTCTGGAATTTCACCCTGGGGTTTTGAGCAGTCATGGAAACCCTCCACCCAGGCCTTCACCTGCATGCAGCTAAGTCACCAGCCTGTGCTGGAGAACCTCAGAGCAGAATCTAGGGAGCAAGAGCTGGCCCAGGTGATGGTGTGTGAACAGGAACTGAGGAAGGGGACTTCAGTCCACCAACTGCCTGGCACGCCTGTGTGTCAGAGTATGAGCTTTTGGGGGGCTGCCCAGTGCCTACCACTGATATCCACCCTTGCCCACCTTCCCCACTCTCCACCCATATTACCACAGAGGCGGCACTACCCTGTTTCCTTCCCAAGGCAGCCATCCTGGCCCCTTTCCTCTCTCATTCGGGTCTTCCTGGTGTAGAGATTTCAGGGTAGAATGGGACCTGGCTACCTCTGAGCTCTCTGTTCTGCTCAACACCCAGCTCTGCAGACCCTCTGCCCCCACCCCCTTAGGACTCCAAGAAGTCCGGTCCCTTAAGCTCCCTCATGAAACAGCTACCTGATCACCACTCAGCTTCCAGAAAGTCACCCTCTAGATTTGTACTAACCTGATAGCCACGGACACCTGTTGTTCAAATTAAGCCCAGATCAACATCAAAAGCTCCTGAGTTGTGCTAGCCACATTTCAAGTGCGCAATAGGCACACGGACCTCGTAGCTCCCGACTGAACCTCAGAGAGAGAGAGGGAACCGTAGTGGATGGCTGTTTGAGCCATGCCCTGAAGCACCCTCCCTAGTAACAGTTACATCTGCCTATGGCCTTGAGGTACATGTCCCTGGGGTGTGGTTGCTGGGGACACTTAAGACCTGGGATGCATGTATGCAGCTCTCTCTTGGCTACCTCGTGGTTTGGATGCTGAGATCTTGGACCAAGTCGTTCAGCGTGGGACATAGCTCAGCTTTCCTGGACCCTACGATAAATCTCCCATGCTTGTGAGTTAACTCCCCAATAAATTCCTTGGATCATTAAGCTGATTGCGTGGGTTACTAGCGATGTAATCACACTAGGGAACATTCTAGTCATCTCCCTCGGGCAGGAGTTCGGTGGGCTGGTCCGAGCAGTACACCTATGGGTCTTT